GGTACTAGGCTGGTACTAGGCTGGTACTAGGCTGGTACTAGGCTGGTACTAGGCTGGTACTTGTGCTGGTACTAGGCTGGTACTTGTGCTGGTACTGTTCTGGTACTAGGCTGGTACTAGGCTGGTACTTGTGCTGGTACTAGGCTGGTACTAGGCTGGTACTAGGCTGGTACTGAGCTGGTACTTGTGCTGGTACTGGGCTGGTACTTGTGCTGGTACTAGGCTGGTACTAGGTTGGTACTTGTGCTGGTACTTGTGCTGGTACTAGGCTGGTACTTGTGGTGGTACTAGGCTGGTACTAGGCTGGTACTAGGTTGGTACTTGTGCTGGTACTTGTGCTGGTACTGGGCTGGTACTAGGCTGGTACTAGGCTGGTACTTGTGCTGGTACTTGTGCTGGTACTAGGCTGGTACTTGTGCCGGTACTAGGTTGGTACTTGTGCTGGTACTTGTGCTGGTACTTGTGCTGGTACTAGGCTGGTACTGGGCTGGTACTGGGCTGGTACTTGTGCTGGCACTAGGCTGGTACTTGTGCTGGTACTAGGCTGGTACTGGGCTGGTACTTGTGCTGGTACTAGGCTGGTACCTTTGCTGGTACTAGGCTGGTACTGGGCTGGTACTTGTGCTGGTACTAGGCTGGTACTGGGCTGGTACTAGGCTGGTACTGGGCTGGTACTTGTGCTGGTACTAGGCTGGTACCTTTGCTGGTACTAGGCTGGTACTTGTGCTGGTACTAGGCTGCTGCTAGGCTGGTACTTGTGCTGGTACTGTGCTGGTACTAGGCTGGTACTTGTGCTGGTACTAGGCTGGTACTAGGCTGGTACTTGTGCTGGTACTGTGCTGGTACTGGGCTGGTACTTGTGCTGGTACTGGGCTGGTACTGTGCTGGTACTAGGCTGGTACTTGTGCTGGTACTAGGCTGGTACTAGGCTGGTACTAGGCTGGTACTGTGCTGGTACTGGGCTGGTACTTGTGCTGGTACTGTGCTGGTACTGGGCTGGTACTTGTGCTGGTACTGTGCTGGTACTGGGCTGGTACTTGTGCTGGTACTAGGCTGGTACTTGTGCTGGTACTGTGCTGGTACTGGGCTGGTACTTGTGCTGGTACTAGGCTGGTACTTGTGCTGGTACTAGGCTGGTACTGTGCTGGTACTGGGCTGGTACTTGTGCTGGTACTAGGCTGGTACTTGTGCTGGTACTAGGCTGGTACTTGTGCTGGTACTGTGCTGGTACTAGGCTGGTACTTGTGCTGGTACTAGGCTGGTACTAGGCTGGTACTTGTGCTGGTACTGTGCTGGTACTGGGCTGGTACTTGTGCTGGTACTAGGCTGGTACTTGTGCGTGTACTCATTAGATTGAATGAGTGCACTCCTCCGACGCATGTTAACTACCAGAAAGCCAGAGCTACAGGTCGCAGCGGTGGTGTTGCGATTATATCACACACCAACTTGGTTCTTAGTCCCAAAACCAACAACGCTTTTCACTCGTTTGAAAACTTAACACTTTCAATCACCTGTCCTGGGTGGAGAAAACAAAAAGCAGTACTATTTATAGTTTTATACCGACCTCCTGGTCCTTACAGCGAGTTCTTAACAGAATTCTCTGACTTCATTTCAAACCTAGTTTTGGAATGGGAAAACATAGTTATAGCTGGAGACTTCAATATACATGTGGACGACAGCACTGACAGCTTAAACAAAGCTTTCAGCGCCGTACTAGATGGTGTTGGTTTTACTCAGAATGTCGAGGAACCTACTCACATTCATAACCACATCTTGGACCTTGTCCTGACCTACGGCTGTGATGTCTCCAATGTTGACATCCAGCGTCAAAGCTCGTTGCTGTCTGACCATTTCTTGATCACGTTTGATCTCGCTTTGGAGGACTTTCCTGTCCCGCAAGATAAAACCATAATGAAAAGAACCTTAAATGATAAATCTATCACAAGGTTCAAAGAACTAATACAGCCTATGTTGAATACTGCTGCAGGTGAACCTGTTCACAGCAGCTGCAGTCCCTCAGTCATCGACCAAACGGTGGGCAACACTATGGAGTCTTTAAAATCTGCATTAAATGCAGCAGCTCCTTTAAAACAGAAAACCATTAGGATTAGATCATCGTCGCCCTGGTACAGTGTTCAACTCCACACTTTAAAACAGGACGTCAGAAAATTGGAGAGGCTATATCGCCACTCCCACTCGGAGCCTGTCCACAGGGAGTGGAAAGCAGGTCTCCGAAACTACAAGAAGGCCCTTCGCGGGGCTCGAACTCAATACTATTCAACTTTAATAGAAGCGAATAAAAACAACAGTAGATTTTTGTTTGGTACCGTCGCTAAACTCACAAACTGCCATAGCGCAATCGAGCCTAAAATTCCAAGCTCACTGAGCAGTGTCGACTTTCTCCACTTCTTTAATAATAAAATTACATCCATCCGTGACAAGCTGGAGGAGGTTGCTCCTGCTGTTAGTGGTGGACAGGTTGAAGCGGCATACGTGACTTCCCACTTAGACTCTTCAGTGGGCCTTAATAAATTCATGGCTGTGAGCCAAGCAGAGGTGATCTCTGTGGTCACATCCTCAAAAGCCTCAACTTGCATGTTAGACGCAGTCCCGACATGGCTCTTCAAAGACATACTTCCTTTGATAATTGAGCCTATCGTAAATATAATAAACGCATCCATACAATGTGGCTATGTCCCACAAGCTTTTAAAACCGCGGTAATCAAACCCCTTCTGAAGAAAACAAACCTGGACCCAGAAATACTTACAAACTACAGACCGATCTCGAACCTCACTTTTATATCTAAAATCCTGGAAAAACTTATAGCTGAGCAGCTCCGCTGCCACCTGCAGGAAAATGATATGTTTGAAGTCTTTCAATCAGGATTCAGAGCTCATCATAGCACTTAAACGGCACTAGTCAAAGTCACAAATGACTTACTACTAGCTGCCGATAATGGACAAGTGTCAGTGCTGGTCCTACTGGACCTTAGTGCTGCATTTGACACAATAGACCACAGCATTCTACTGCAGAGGCTAGAATGTGATATAGGTCTTAGAGGAACAGCCCTTGGCTGGTTTAAATCCTATTTATCAGATCGATATCACTTCGTCAATGTGAATCAGGACTCGTCGCCTTATTCTGGAGTGGAATTCGGTGTGCCGCAGGGTTCGGTACTCGGACCGATTCTTTTTACTCTCTACATGCTGCCACTGGGAAACATTATTAAAAAGCATGGAATTAAGTTCCACTGCTATGCAGATGACACACAGCTTTATCTGTCGATGAAGCCAAATCAGACAGATCAGCTAGAAAAGCTCAGTGCCTGCATAAAGGACCTTAAAATGTGGATGACTCTTAACTTCCTACTTCTCAACCCGGAGAAGACAGAAGTGATCCTACTCGGTCCGAAGCGCCTGCGTGACTCCCTCACTAACCAGATGGTTACTCTCGATAATGTCAGTATAATACCCAGTAACACTGTGAGGAATCTTGGAGTCATTTTTGACCAAGAACTCTCCTTCAAGGCTTATATAAGCCAAGCAACTAAAACGGCGTACTTCCACTTACGGAACATCGCTAAAATTAGGAATTTCCTTCCTAAAAGTGACGCGGAAAAACTCATTCACGCGTTTGTCACCTCAAGGCTTGACTACTGTAACGCTTTACTGGCAGCGTGCCCTAAAGCCTCTTTGAAGAGCTTCCAGCTCGTTCAGAATACAGCAGCTAGGATCTTAACAGGTACCAAAAGGAGGGAGCACATAACTCCGGTGTTAAAATCACTCCACTGGCTCCCTGTGGAGTACAGAATAAAGTTTAAAATCCTACTCTTAACATATAAAGCCATAAATGGCTTGGCTCCTTCTTATCTCCAAGACACGTTAGTGTCGTATCAACCAAGTCGAGCGTTGCGCTCACAAAACGCCAGACGTCTGGTGGTCCCTAAGGTCTCAAAGGTCACTGTTGGTGGCAGAGCATTTAGCTCCAAGCTCCTTTACTGTGGAATCAGCTTCCCATTTATGTTAAGGAAGCAGATACGGTCTCCACATTCAAGGCCAGGCTTAAAGCACTTTACTTTAATTTAGCATATAATTAGGTAATATATAATATGTAGTGTATATATTATATATATATGCTGTATTATGTTATATATTATGTTATATATTATTCAATAATGTATTGTGTTTATGTTGTATATTATGTTATATATTATGCTGTATGTTATTCTTTATTCAAGGCTAGGTTTAAAACAGTCCTCTTTAGTTTAGCATATGGCTAGGAAGGTAAGACTCGGAGAAGGTTAAACTCCTCAGAGTGTTAGTCAAGCTGCATAGGGAGTCAGTTTGCTGGGAGAAGTATGGTAACTTGAGCACTATCCTCTCCTCCTTCCTACTTTATCTGTTTAGCATTTTTAGGATTCTGACTGTAGTTTGTTCATTGCTATTCACCCGTTGTCCCATTGTCTGTTTCATGGTACGATGACGGGATCTCTGAGCCTGGCCTCTTCCATCTACACCTGCGGACTGCCCCGCCCGACCCGCCTGGGAGTGCTTCGGTCCTGCACCGGACCTGTCCACGTTCAGCGTCCACTGGTCCACGTTCTGTAGCTAGCTTAGGTCCTAGATCATTAGTCTGTCCGTCCGGAGGAGCGGATCCCTTTCTCATATGGGTCTCCCTCCCTGTGGGTTTCCCTAGTTCTCCTCCAAGGTTTCTCACTTTTTCCCACTGGGTTTTTTAAGAGTTTTTCCTTGTGGATGCAGGAGGGTCTTGTTGGACAGTTAGTGTCCAACAGAAAGGATTGGTGATGATCAGGACACTTTAGCATTCTACAACATGTATGGACATTTTCTTCTGTGTGTGCTTTATACTGTATTCTTCATGTGTTTTAACTGTTGATTCTCTGACCTGTGTTGGTGATTTCAATGGTTTTGTTAAGTCCTCTGAGATGACTTCTGTTGTGACCTAGGGCTATACAAGAATACATTGTATTGTATTGTACCTGTGAGTAGAGCAGCAGGGCGCCTCTCCGGGTGCTGAAGGTCTTGGGGAGGCTGGTCTCGGGTCCAGGGAGGAGGCCGCCGCTCGGGGACAGACGCAGCCAAGAGCCATGTGCCTTCCAGATGTAGAAGTCCTGTTTGGATAATTATAGAAATGTGTGTCGTGAGTTCTATTCACTCTCTCACTTCTGTTTAAAACTGTTTTACAATATACCCGCTTTACGGGGGTGACAGTAGCTCAGTTGGTAGAGCATTGGCCTTCAGGCCTGAAGGTCGTGGGTTCAATTCCCACCTCTACACCTTCTCCACCGACTCCCACTGATGACTGCTGTCGTTGTGTCCTTGGGCAAGACACTTAACCCCACTTTGCCCAAAGCCCCCACTGAAAGATCAAGGCTATGCTCACACTCAGAGAGCAGCCGTCCTCCTGTGGACTCACCACCTGCAGAGGGTCAGTGAGGGGCTGGTGCTATGAGACTTGGGTGGCATCTCTGACTGCCACCCCCCTGACCCAGAAATGGATGGATGTATTATCCTTATTTATTGTAACTACAGTACAGCCACGGCGTGTGTGTGTGTGTAATAATAGTATATATATAAATATATATTTTAAATGCTTTTCTTGTATTATTGTTGTGTTTACATGTGCTTTGCTGTATCTGTCCTTGTGAAATCTTGAGGACCTCCTTGAAAACGAGATGAGACCACATCATCTCAAGGGACTTATCCTCTAAATTGCAAAAAAAATAAAATAATAATAATATTATTTAATAATGCATTGATTTTATTCAGCGCTTTATAGGACTCTCAAAGTCTCGTCACTTCATTATTCTTTCACTCCATTCACAAATACACGCTTTAGGGATAGAAACTTCTAATCAGGGGAATGTGTGTCATGTCTGTTGTTAATCTACTGATGAAAAAGAAAAGATGTAAATTTGACTTTTGTCACACAACCACTAAATGATTTAACAAAGTGTTTGTGTTTTCATTCATGTACACATTAAAGTCATTCATCTTTCTTTTGACCGTTCTCTGTTCTCGACCATAACAACACAGTGAGATAAAAGCATGTTCTAATCCCTCTCGTGTTGATCACTGTGGCCCGTTACCTCCGCAGTGAAGCACACGTCCAGTCTCCCGCACTGCTTCCCCTCACTCTGCACAAACTGGGCACATCCTCGGCTCAGCACCGACAGAGGCAGGTCCTTCATGGAATCTCTGAAAACCTCAAACCGCTGCGGATCTGAGACACACTGGTCCAACAATTATAACAACTATAACAAGTATAACAATTATAACAACTATAACAAGTATAACAAGTATAACAACTATGACAACTATAATGTACTTTTTAAATGTGTTTCTACCTCACAGCAGCGGCGGGTGTTGGGTCTAAATCTCTGTTGCTATGGTTTGTTTAATACTGTGTCCCTGTTACCGTGGCTGCAGCACATACACACACACACATACACACACACACAAGACCCCAACACACACACACAGATGCACACACACACACACACAAGACCCCAACACAGACACACATGTACACACACAGATGCACACACACACACACACACACACATCACCCCAACACGCACACACAAATACACACACACGCACAAACATCACCCCAACACACACACACATACACACATACATACAGTACATGTACACCCTCCAGGTGAAAATTGTTAGTTACAGAAGGATGTAACTAGCTAAGGATGATTAGTGACATGTTAGTACCATATGAACCAGCCTGGACTCTGAGGAGCACAGGGACTGGTCTCCTGCTGGGACTCTGAGGAGCACAGGGACTGGACTCCTGCTGGGACTCTGAGGAGCACAGGGACTGGCCTCCTGCTGGGACTCTGAGGAGCACAGGGACTGGCCTCCTGCTGGGACTCTGAGGAGCACAGGGACTGGCCTCCTGCTGGGACTCTGAGGAGCACAGGGATTGGCCTCCTGCTGGGACTCTGAGGAGCACAGGGACTGGCCTCCTGCTGGGACTCTGAGGAGCACAGGGACTGGCCTCCTGCTGGGACTCTGAGGAGCACAGGGACTGGCCTCCTGCTGGGACTCTGAGGAGCACAGGGACTGGCCTCCTGCTGGGACTCTGAGGAGCACAGGGACTGGCCTCCTGCTGGGACTCTGAGGAGCACAGGGACTGGACTCCTGCTGGGACTCTGAGGAGCACAGGGACTGGACTCCTGCTGGGACTCTGAGGAGCACAGGGACTGGACTCCTGTTAGTGCCCAGAGTCAGGACTAAACATGGGGAGGCTGCTTTTCAGATTCATGCTGCTAAAATCTGGAACAATCTTCCTGAAGATGTGAGACAGGCCTCCTCTCTGACAATGTTTAAAACCAGGTTAAAGACAGTTCTGTTTAACTGTGCATACAACTGAGGGATTTTATATTTTTATCTTTCTTTTTAATGTTCTGTGATTATTTATGATTTTAATGCTTTCTTATTTTGAGTTGCCTTGTGTATGAATTGTGCTATCCAAAAAAACTTGCCTTGCCTACTTACCGGATGTGTTTGAATGGATGTTTCTGCTGCTGGTGGTGGTTCTATCTCTAGTTTTAACATATATTTATTTGTGAGTTTTTCTGTCCAACTTCTTGAAAAATGAAAAAGAGATGACGAGCTTGACTCCAACTTCATCCTCTCTTCAAATAGTGACTCACAGGACTTTTACAAATACCATTTTTGTTTGTAAAATAAATATAATTGTTGTTTTTCAAGAATCTTTTTGTGGAAATGTTTTATTTTGTATGTGGCGAGCCGGATCCTTTTTTGCTTAGTCACCAGTTAGAAGAACATTTTTTCTGACTCCACAGTTATACTTCATCTTATAAGTATGTGGCATGTTTATTGATATAGCACATTTTACAGACCAAGGTCACCCAAAGCGTTTTAAACTGTTCAGAAATCAGATGAAGGAGAATTTTCTACTTCTGGGTGTCTCATCAAGAGTATTGGTCCTCCCAACTGTCAATCATTCTGCTGATACGTGCTCGTCAAAAAAGACCAAAGAGATTTGTCCAAAAAGTGGAGAGGGCGGTTTTCTTCCAAATTCCTTAAATTTGGGGAAATCCTTAATATCTACAGTCCATGGGAAATCCTCCTTTAAACCTTTAACATTGATAAATACATGTAGTGATGATATTACCCACGGATATTTTGTTGAGCTTTTATTTTTAAGTCTGCGGTGCTTTTATTTTGAAGTCCGCTGTGCTTTTATTTTAAAATCTACTGTGCTCATGTTTTGTAGTCTGCTGAGCTTTTATTTTGAAGTCTGCTGTGCTTTTATTTTGAAGTCTGCTGTGCTTTTATTTTGAAGTCTGCTGTGCTCTTGTTGTGCAGTCTGCTGTGCTTTTATTTTGAAGTCCGCTGTGCTTTTATTTTGAAATCTACTGTGCTTTTATTTTGAAGTCCGCTGTGCTTTTATTTTGAAGTCTGCTGTGCTTTTATTTTGAAATCTACTGTGCTTTTATTTTGAAGTCCGCTGTGCTTTTATTTAGAAGTTTGCTGTGCTTTTATTTTGAAGTTTGCTGTGCTTTTATTTTGAAATCTGCTGTGCTCTTATTTTGAAGTCGGCTGTGCTCTTATTTTGAAATCTGCTGTGCTCTTATTTTGAAATCTGCTGTGCTCTTATTTTGAAGTCTGCTGTCAGTGTAGTACTTGCGCTCACGACCCGACTGTAGCCAGACTGTAAAAAGATCCATAGACTTGACCTCCTCGGTCTCGGCACCAGTGAGAAGGTGTTTTTCTGGTTTCTTTGCACCATCAAACTTTAGCTTCATAATTATATCTGTGAAAAACAACTGCGGAAGGAGCTTTTGACGAATTATCTGCCAACTCAGGTACGTTTTTGTACTGTTTTTATGTTTAGCCTTATTCTAAGTCACGTTAAACTCTATGTAAAAAGACATTAGACTGGATTATATATTATACCATCAGTGCAGTTGTAGTAATATTTGCTGCATTTGTCCCCGATCTATAAAAAAATATGTTTTTGCTTCCGCATTTCCGGTGAACGAGTTTTACTTACTCATCGATCAAAATGCTCGAAAGTAGGCGTGGCTTAGACATTTTTCACAATAAAAGGCCACTGCCTCTGCGGGCTCTCTAAAGTCCGAAATAAAGACTCCTTTCTCGTAGTGTTTCTGACGAAGGATTGCTATCACATATAATCAACGTAAATCAGATGTGTTGTTGCTGTTCCAAATACTGTCTGTGAATCGCGAACTGTTTCCCATGACACTGACCTGAACAGCTGCAAGGTGCGCAGTTTAACCTGGAGCTGCGGTGGGACTGTGGTGTTTCCATTCAATAAACACGCTCACAACAGCGATTTACAAACACATGACCAGCGCCTGCTCTCACACATTGTTCTCATATACTACAGTCATAAGAAATATTGATGTAGAAAAAGAAATCACATGTGGAATTAATGCTGTATGTGATCGCTATCACAGACCAGGAAAAGGACGTTCGGGTTGTATGAGTGAGCAATAATGTGACTAATAATGAGCATGCAACTGTGACAGGACGAACATGTGTGTGTGTAAAGCATGACAGCAGCAAGAGGGTGTCACTGAAAGATGACAGCAGACGGCCAAACACATGTTGATATGATCATGATATGATCAGTCTGACTCTGCTGGCGCCCACAGTCAAGACTAAACATGTGGGGGAAGACAATGTTCAAATGCAAGTAATGTTGAGGGTTGTGTGTGCGAGGAATTGTATCTCCATTTTGTTGTGCACTGTGGTTATTAAGAGTCCCTTGTGTGATGTTTTGTTTATTTCATTGCCTGTGTGATTTGCCTGGTGTTTAATCTTTGTGTGTGTTTCATGTAAAGATTTGTGCCTTGTGTGAGATGAACTGTGCAGCTGTCATCTCAGAGGACCACACAGACACGTTGAAATCACCAACACAGATTGGAGAATCAACAGCGAAGACCCAGGAAATATTGAACCCATGTGTATTGGTTCATAGAGAAAGACCAATGCCCATGAATGATGATGAATATGCATACAAATTAATATTGATTGCTGGACATTTCGCTGACAGTAGCAGATGGCCAAAATGATGTATATTTGGGGTGGACGTGGTACACCTGCAAACCTTGCAGCTGCTCATGTCAGTGTTGTGCTGTGCTCATTACAAATGTTTATGTTGGTCCAGTCATACTGCACACAAGGGAACAATTGTGACATGGAATTGTGACCGAGCAACGCGTAAAACACATGTCCGCAGCGCTGTGACAGAGAAATGCTGCAGAGACGTCTCTGAAAGAGGATCTGGAGATGCGTCAGCAGGTTAATCTGTCGCTGCACCACGTACCAAACCGCGTCCGAGCGTACGATTTATGTGTGTGTGTCTGCACGTTTGAAATGTCTGTGGCTACACGACACAGGTAACAGGAACAGGGTGTACCATTCTATTGCCAGTGACATTGCGTTACAATGCTTTGGAGACAGATGAAGCGGGGTGCGAGTACGCGGACACGCAGGTGGATCTAGCCCACTCTACAAATACAACATGTGTTTGGCCGTCTGCTGTCATCTTTCAGTGACACCCTCTTGCTGCTGTCATGCTTTACACACACACATGTTCGTCCTGTCACAGTTGCATGCTCATTATTAGTCACATTATTACTCACTCATACAACCTGAACGTCCTTTTCCTGGTCTGTGATAGCGATCACATACAGCATTAATTCCACATGTGATTTCTTTTTCTACATCAATATTTCTTATGACTGTAGTATATGAGAACAATGTGTGAGAGCAGGCGCTGGTCATGTGTTTGTAAATCGCTGTTGTGAGCGTGTTTATTGAATGGAAACACCACAGTCCCACCGCAGCTCCAGGTTAAACTGCGCACCTTGCAGCTGTTCAGGTCAGTGTCATGGGAAACAGTTCGCGATTCACAGACAGTATTTGGAACAGCAACAACACATCTGATTTACGTTGATTATATGTGATAGCAATCCTTCGTCAGAAACACTACGAGAAAGGAGTCTTTATTTCGGACTTTAGAGAGCCCGCAGAGGCAGTGGCCTTTTATTGTGAAACATGTCTAAGCCACGCCTACTTTCGAGCATTTTGATCGATGAGTAAGTAGAACTCGTTCACCGGGAAAGGAGGCAGGTCATTTACAGTCTGTGGTCATAATATTTATTATTATAGATCCATGGTAATAATCTGTAATGTAGTAACTTTACAGTCTGTGGTAATAATCTGTAATGTAGTAACTTTACAGTCTGTGGTAATAATCTGTAATGTAGTGAGCGCTGCTGGGTCCTGTGCATGTCCTGGTCTATTCTAATTCCATTTTCTTGTTGTAGAAATGGCCGTGTTTCTGAACTGCTCTGTGCTGTTCGAGCTCAAAACTTTGCCTTTTAAAGAGAAGGTGAAGATGAAGCTGGCAGTGACTGAAAATGGAGGAAGCATGTCGTTTGTGGCCAATAAACAGGTGTGTGTGTGTCACGTGTGTATAGTATTGCACTGGACAAACTTGTATTATTGTGAAATCCCTGAATGACCACACAGACTGCCTGTATGACTGACAGCTTACACAAACTTATCGTGTTTTATTGTGTTAAAAAAAATCACACAAACAATTGAACGCATTGTCCTATAACATAGTCCATATCCCGAACTGACTTTGGAAAATGCATTTCTTAGAATACTGCACATTTCATTTTACATGTATCAGTGGGGAGACATTAGCTCTGTGTTGAGTCTAGGCTTCCAACAAAATCATGTATAGCTAGATCAATAGATAAATAGACCAGTAGCAGCAAAAACACATCCATCCACACAAAAAACAATAAAATGTATCATTCTAAAAAGCTAATAATAATAATAGTAATGATAAGAAACAGCTCTGCAGGTCACAGCAGCAGAGATGGTCTAACCTCTGAATATACATCATTTATCTGCTTGAAACTGTAGATAGTATTTTGTTCCTGTTTTTGAAATCAAGTTTGCTTTTGTTGATGAAAAACACAAATACATTCTGCTCCCCAGTGCTCTCTGGTGGTGACCAGCGGTGTGTCCAGTCTGAGTCCCGGTAGACTGCGTAACATTGTGAAGTACCAGATCCCTGTGGTGGGACTGGACTATGTTCGCCGCTGCTTGGAGGCGAACTGTCGGCTTCCAGTGGAGGACTTTCAGTTGGACATTTCCTCTTCTGCTAATGCACATCCTGTTGTGCACAAAGGTACTTCATTATTGATCGGCCTTCAAGCCACGAAATGAGGAGTTGAAATTACAAGCTTTATTTATTTGAGCATGTTTCTTCTAAATTGCAAATAAGGGTTAATAGCAATTGTATTATTAAAGGAATACTAAACATCAGTGCCCAGCGTGACTCCGCCCACATGAACATTTAAAAAGGGCATTTCCCGAGGTCTGGGCTGTGATTAGTTTACACACTAAGATAATTGTAGAGCTACACACTTGAATCTAAGACACTGAATTCTCTCAGCAGCAGTGACTTCAACTGATGTAATTTAATGTTATTACATTAGGGGCGTGTGCATGGATCTATAACAATAACTGGATAGAGTATTACTATCTTACAGCTGTCCCACCCATGGGCACAGGGGGCGCTGTGGTACTGCAGACTAAATTCACTCTGGCTACCCTGAAAAAGTCCCATAGAACTCAATGTAAACTAAAACAGACCACAGCTGACAGAGAACCTGACAGAGAACCTGACGTGCATGAGAGCCAGACACGCGTATTTGGCGCAAAGCATCATGGGAGCTCGTCCACTGCGCAGAACCGGGAGGACCAGAGAAATGACCAAAATATGGATGAGTTCCGCTAATCTCTCAGTCCCATGCGCTACTGAGAAAAAAAAAGTTGATTTGGTGTTTAGTTGTACTTTAAGAATATATGAGTGATTTTGTTCTCTGAATAGAACCTTGCTCAGTGTGTACAGAGGCGTGTTTATTAAGGTGTGTGTCTGACTAGTTCTGAGGAATGTGTCAAAAGTCACGTGATGTATTTCTGTCTGTGATTCTTATGTTGGAAATGTTCTCTACACACGTTTGGTTCTTAGACAAATGGACTAAAGACAATTGGACCAAAGCCACTTCTAAAACGCCCCAAAACCTGCTCGTTCCCCTGGAGCCTGTTCGTGTCTCACTGAGGGACGAGTCTCCAAAGCACAGAGAAAGTGTTCATAAAGATGAAGATTGCAGGTTTGAATACTTTAATATTTACATTATTATTATGCAAGTTTCAATGTTTCACTGTCATAGCGTCCTGTGTGTGATCTGCAACATTAACAACTCACTGTGGGACTAATACAACTCTTAAGTTCCAAATCTGTTCCATTTTTAAAACACTATTTAGATAGAAATATTAAATGCACAGAGGAAGAAGTCGATTTAATCAAAATTCTACTAGAGTCTTGCAAAGGAAATGTTAAAAAGAAACAAAAAAATCTTATATACAAATGTTTACAAGAGGCAAAACATATTTCCATCAAGTAAATGAAAGAGAAATGGGAAAGAGAGGTGATCTGAGGGAGATAAAACTACCCTTGGAAAAATACTGTACGTTTTTTGTAACTCCAAGCGGGAGTTTTTTTCTGGGACTCTGCAAAGATCGCCCCCTACTGGTCAGAGGTGATATAAGCCCGCAAGAGATTATATTTAGCCTTGAAATGATTTTTCTACTTGGGTAACCTTCCTCAGGCCATGTAGAAATCTGACCAATGTCTCCGATCAGTTCTGCAGCAGGAGCAAAGAAGGCCAGTCTGTTCTCACGGACTGGACCCAAATAATCCCGGAGATTTACGACATGGAAAGACTAACCTTTTCACTGAGACTTCCCAGAGACAAGTGCAACACGTACTGGACAAATGGGTCTCATGCATGAAAATATAATCCGAATATTGTAAAACTAATAATGAGAGTTTAAACCTTCAGCCTAATCCCTTTGGTCACAAATGCGTTTGTAAATCTAAGTTAAAGTATGGACAGTAACTGACATAAGCTAAATTGTTCTTGTAATCTTGTTCTTTTTTATGCCGTTTTTTTGTAAACATAAAATAATGTAACAAAAAATGATAATAATATGACAGAAAAACAAACTTACTACTACCTGATATTTACATACATGTGTCATGTGGATGCTCTGTTATTCTATGTGGTCTGCATTTTGTTGTATTGTTCTTTGCTTTTATATATAACTTAACAAAAATCTTACAAAGTATTTCAGAAAAAGTCTATTCATTTTTTGTCAATTACAATGAATTAAATTAACTTATTTATGATTTGTTCCCAGAGATAACTCTAAAATGGACCATGGCCTGTCCGACTTTCCAGAAAACTTTGAAGTGGCTAAATATGCCATTTTTCAAAAGGTAAGAATAATATGTTTTTGTTAATATGTGTGTGAGCTGTTGGTCGTTCTCTCACTTTGTTGTGATATTTATTCAGCAAAACAGTAATTCTTGGTGTTTGCTGGAGCTCCAAAGTGCCAAAACTGAGAATGCAAGGCGGTACTCTGTGGTTAAGAACTGGAAGGAAAACATTCAGTCCAAGGTAAAAAGTGTCTTTTGCAATTCTGTATATTTTTTATTTTTTATTCATTCACAATACATTTTTACATTATTTTTCCAGAACAAACTTAAACATACACACACTCACACCTAGGATCGTAGATTAGGAGTTGACTAACCAAGTGCTGACATCACTAATAGTGTTCTATTTGAACATAGACGAGCTTAAGCCTATTTCCTTATATGGGCATTTGTTCTGACGGCATTAGCTTTGCGTCGTCACAGGAGCAGATGTGTTGTTCTCCTGCACATCTGGTTGGTCAATCCTGTTAGTTACTGACATAGAGGAGTTTGATTTTCAATGCAAATTAATAGGAGCCAGGGTGAGTTGAGGCAAAACTTTCCTTCCCTATAACTTCCCTATTGGGCTTCATATTGGGTTAGCCTAGTTCATTTGCATACAAGTCTAGGCCATAACAGACAACACAAAAAACAAAATACTTAAAGAGCGTCTAAACACCTGTGCCCAGACTTACTCTGCTCACATGAATATTTGAAAATGTTCTTTAAAAAGGGCGTGTCCCGAGGAACAGGAACAAGAGGACCAGGGGACAATAAGGGGGCTTAGAAGTGGGCGTGGTCTGGGCTGTGATTGACAGCTCACGTCACACACACAAAAAAACAGTTGTCATTGCTGCTTAAAGCAATAGTTTACACCAGAAAGTCTCATTCCTTTGTTTACACACTAAGATAATTGTAGAGCTACACACCTGAACCTAAGACACACAATTATCTCAGCAGCAGTGGTTTCAACTCATGTAATTTAATATTAATCCACTAGATGTCGCCAGAATACTCCAACCTGCTGCTGTGTGTGTGAGAGTTGGATCAGTTTATATCAGACTCAGAGTGATGTCACACACACCAACTGACGTCACACACACCAACTGACGTCACACACACCAACTGAAGTCGCACACACCAACTGACGTCACACACACCAACTGACGTCACACACACCAACTGACGTCACACACACCAACTGAAGTCGCACACACCAACTGAAGTCGCACACACCAACTGACATCACACACACCAACTGACGTCGCACACACCAACTGACGTCGCACACACCAACTGACGTCGCACACACCAACTGACGTCGCACACACCAACTGAAGTCGCACACACCAACTGACGTCGCACACACCAACTGACGTCGCACACACCAACTGACGTCGCACACACCAACTGACGTCGCACACACCAACTGAAGTCGCACACACCAACTGAAGTCGCACACACCAACTGAAGTCGCACACACCAACTGAAGTCGCACACACCAACTGAAGTCGCACACACCAACTGAAGTCGCACACACCAACTGACGTCACACACACACCAACTGACGTCACACACACACCAACTGACGTCACACACACACCAACTGAAGTCACACACACCAACTGACGTCACACACACCAACTGACGTCACACACACACCAACTGACGTCACACACACACCAACTGACGTCACACACACACCAACTGACGTCACACACACACCAACTGACGTCACACACACACCAACTGACGTCACACACACACCAACTGACGTCACACACACACCAACTGACGTCACACACACACCAACTGACGTCACACACACACACAAACTGACGGCACACACACACCAACTGACGTCACACACACCAACTGACGTCACACACACCAACTGAAGTCACACACACCAACTGACGTCACACACACCAACTGACGTCACACACACCAACTGACGTCACACACACCAACTGACGTCGCACACACCAACTGACGTCGCACACACCAACTGACGTCGCACACACCAACTGAAGTCGCACACACCAACTGAAGTCGCACACACCAACTGAAGTCGCACACACCAACTGAAGTCGCACACACCAACTGAAGTCGCACACACCAACTGAAGTTGCACACACCAACTGACGTCACACACACACCAACTGACGTCACACACACACCAACTGACGTCACACACACACCAACTGACGTCACACACACCAACTGAAGTCACACACACCAACTGAAGTCACACACACCAACTGACGTCACACACACCAACTGACGTCACACACACACCAACTGACGTCACACACACACCAACTGACGTCACACACACACCAACTGACGTCACACACACACCAACTGACGTCACACACACACCAACTGACGTCACACACACACCAACTGACGTCACACACACACCAACTGACGTCACACACACACCACACACTGACGGCACACACACACCAACTGACGGCACACACACACCAACTGACGTCGCACACACCAACTGACGTCGCACACACCAACTGACGTCGCACACACCAACTGACGTCGCACACACACCAACTGACGTCACACACACACCAACTGACGTCACACACACACCAACTGACGTCACACACACACACACACACTGACGTCACAACACACACACAACACAACTGACGTCACACACACCAACTGATCCAACACGTCACACACACTGACGTCACACACACCAACTGACGTCACACACACACCAACTGACGTCACACACACACCAACTGACGTCACACACACACACACACCACACACAACTGACGTCACACACACACAACTGACGTCACACACACAAACTGACGTCACACACACACCAACTGACGTCACACACACACCAACTGACGTCACACACACACCAACTGACGTCCACACACACCAACTGACGTCACACACACACCAACTGACGTCACACACAAACTGACGTCACACACACCACCAACTGACGCACACACACACCAACTGACGCACACACACCAACTGACGCCACCACCAACTGACGTCGCACACACAAGACGTCGCACACACACGTCGCACACACCAATGACGTCACACACCAACTGACGTCACACACACACCAACTGACGTCCACACACACCAACTGACGTCAACACACACCAACTGACGTCAACACACACCAACGACTCACACAACACCAACTGACTCACACACACACAACTGACGTCACACACACACAACTGACGTACCACACACCAACTGACGTCACACACACCAACTGACGTCCACACACCAACTGACGTCACACACAAACTGACGTCACACACACAACTGACGTCACACACACAACTGACGTCACACACACAACTGACGTCACACACACAACTGACGTCACACACACAACTGACGTCACACACCAACTGACGTCACACACACAACTGACGTCACACACACAACTGACGTCACACACACAACTGACGTCACACCCACAACTGACGTCACACACACAACTGACGTCACACCCTAACCCAGAGCCAATGAGAGGCAAGGACCAAAATTCCAATGTAGTACCATCAAAAAGGCAGAGAGGGCGCCACACAGAAGGTTTTAGGCTCAAAAGTGAGATTTTATCTAATTTGCACTAAAATGTCCATAAAAGACATGGAGAGAGCACTATGAGAAAAATGTGGTGTTTAGTTGTCCTTTGAAGAAAAACATATTCAAGTTTGGACAGCTTTATATCTTAATGTGTAGTTATTCTGTAACGTTTTAATTATGAACTCTAGACCTGCATGATTCATAATATTATAATGAGGTGCGCACTATGAGGCGCATCAAACTTTGCGGTTCTTTTCATATATTTAAGGTTCCCTGGATTATAATTGTTGAAATAAAAGGCTTTTATGTGTGAATACCACGGTACATAGTTCAATAATGTTCTTACTCTGTGTTTCATGGTTTCATATTTACTGTCTATGGTTTTACAGAAGGCTGCAGTGAGAGACCAAGTGTGTGTGTCCACATCAGAAGAGGCCCTGAAGGAGTTTGAGGACCTGATAGAAACCATGAAGGAGCGGGGCCTGGAGGAGCAGAAGGAGGCCCCGCCCACGGTCACTGAGATGGGCTCCGCTCCTCTGCAGCAGGTTCAGGATCTCACTTCTTTTTATTTATATATAAATACATTTACTGTTTCCACATCACTCACACATTCAATATAAAATACTCAAACTCCTCCTCTCTCCTCCTCCTGGTCCCTCTGCTCCTCCTCCTCTCTCCTCCTGGTCCCTCCCCTCCTCCTCTCTCCTCCTCCTGGTCCCTCGCTCCTCCTCTCTCCTCCTCCTGGTCCCTCCGCTCCTCCTCCTCTCTCCTCCTCCTGGTCCCTCGCTCCTCCTCTCTCCTCCTCCTGGTCCCTCCGCTCCTCCTCTCTCCTCCTCCTGGTCCCTCTGCTCCTCCTCCTCTCTCCTCCTCCTGGTCCCTCGCTCCTCCTCTCTCCTCCTCCTGGTCCCTCGCTCCTCCTCTCTCCTCCTCCTGGTCCCTCCGCTCCTCCTCTCTCCTCCTCCTGGTCCCGCTGCTCCTCCTCCTCTCTCCTCCTCCTGGTCCCTCTGCTCCTCCTCCTCTCTCCTCCTCCTGGTCCCTCTGCTCCTCCTCTCTCCTCCTCCTGGTCCCTCTGCTCCTCCTCCTCTCTCCTCCTCTTGGTCCCTTCGCTCCTCCTCCTCCTCTCTCTCCTCCTCTGGTCCCTCTGCTCCTCCTCCTCTCTCCTCCTCCTGGTCCCTCTGCTCCTCCTCCTCTCTCCTCCTCCTGGTCCCTCCGCTCCTCCTCCTCTCTCCTCCTCCTGGTCCCTCCGCTTCTCCTCCTCTCTCCTCCTGGTCCCTCGCTCCTCCTCTCTCCTCCTGGTCCCTCCGCTCTTCCTCCTCTCTCCTCCTCCTGGTCCCTCCGCTCTTCCTCCTCTCTCCTCCTCCTGGTCCCTCGTTCCTCCTCTCTCCTCCTCCTGGTCGCTCGCTCCTCCTCCTCTCCTCCTCCTGGTCGCTCGCTCCTCTCTCTCCTCCCCTTCCTCTCTCCCTCTCCTCCTCCTGGTCCCTCGCTCTCCTCCTCCTCCTCCTGGTCCCGCTCCTCCTCTCTCCTCCTCCTGGTCCCTCCTCCTCTCTCCTCCTCTGGTCCCTCGCTCCTCCTCTCTCCTCCTCCTGGTCCCTCTCCTCTCTCCTCCTCCTGGTCCCTCGCTCCTCCTCTCTCCTCCTCCTGGTCCCTCGCTCCTCCTCTCTCCTCCTCCTGGTCCCTCGCTCCTCCTCTCTCCTCCTCTGGTCCCTCGCTCCTCCTCTCTCCTCCTCCTGGTCCCTCGCTCCTCCTCCCTCCTCTCCTCGCTCCTCCTCTCTCTCCTCCTGGTCCCTCCTTCCTCCTCTCTCCTCCTCTGTCCCTCCTCCTCTCTCTCCTCCTCATGGTCCCTCGCTCCTCCTCTCTCTCTCCCCCTGGTCCCTCGCTCCTCCTCTCTCCTCCTGGTCCCTCGCTCCCTCTCTCCTCCTCCTGTCCCTCTGCTCCTCCTCCTCTCCTCCTCCTTGTCCCTCTGCTCCTCCTCCTCTCTCCTCCTCCTGGTCCCTCCGCTCTTCCTCCTCTCTCCTCCTCCTGGTCCCTCCGCTCTTCCTCCTCTCTCCTTCTCCTGGTCCCTCGCTCCTCCTCTCTCCTCCTCCTGGTCCCTCGCTCCTCCTCTCTCCTCCTGGTCCCTCGCTCCTCCTCTCTCCTCCTCCTGGTCCCTCGCTCCTCCTCTCTCCTCCTCCTGGTCCCTCGCTCCTCCTCTCTCCTCCTCCTGGTCCCTCGCTCCTCCTCTCTCCTCCTCCTGGTCCCTCTGCTCCTCCTCTCTCTCTCCTCCTGGTCCCTCTGCTCCTCCTCTCTCCTCCTCCTGGTCCCTCGCTCCTCCTCTCTCCTCCTCCTGGTCCCTCGCTCCTCCTCTCTCCTCCTCCTGGTCCCTCCGCTCCTCCTCTCTCCTCCTCCTGGTCCCTCTGCTCCTCCTCCTCTCTCCTCCTCCTTGTCCCTCTGCTCCTCCTCCTCTCTCTCCACCTCCTGGTCCCTCCGCTCCTCCTCTCTCCTCCTCCTGGTCCCTCGCTCCTCCTCTCTCCTCCTCCTGGTCCCTCGCTCCTCCTCTCTCCTCCTCCTGGTCCCTCGCTCCTCCTCTCTCCTCCTCCTGGTCCCTCGCTCCTCCTCTCTCCTCCTCCTGGTCCCTCGCGCCTCCTCTCTCCTCCTCCTGGTCCCTCCGCTCCTCCTCTCTCCTCCTCCTGGTCCCTCTGCTCCTCCTCCTCTCTCCTCCTCCTGGTCTCTCCGCTCCTCCTCTCTCCTCCTCTTGGTCCCTCGCTCCTCCTCTCTCCTCCTCCTGGTCCCTCGCCCCTCCTCTCTCCTCCTCCTGGTCCCTCCGCTCCTCCTCTCTCCTCCTCCTGGTCCCTCGCTCCTCCTCTCTCCTCCTCCTGGTCCCTCCGCTCCTCCTCTCTCCTCCTCCTGGTCCCTCGCTCCTCCTCTCTCCTCCTCCTGGTCCCTCGCTCCTCCTCTCTCCTCCTCCTGGTCCCTCGCTCCTCCTCTCTCCTCCTCCTGGTCCCTCTGCTCCTCCTCCTCTCTCCTCCTCCTTGTCCCTCTGCTCCTCCTCCTCTCTCCTCCTCCTGGTCCCTCCGCTCTTCCTCCTCTCTCCTTCTCCTGGTCCCTCGCTCCTCCTCTCTCCTCCTCCTGGTCCCTCGCTCCTCCTCTCTCCTCCTCCTGGTCCCTCGCTCCTCCTCTCTCCTCCTCCTGGTCCCTCGCTCCTCCTCTCTCCTCCTCCTGGTCCCTCCGCTCCTCCTCTCTCCTCCTCCTGGTCCCTCCGCTCCTCCTCTCTCCTCCTCCTGGTCCCTCGCTCCTCCTCTCTTCTCCTCCTGGTCCCTCGCTCCTCCTCTCTCCTCCTCCTGGTCCCTCGCGCCTCCTCTCTCCTCCTCCTTGTCCCTCTGCTCCTCCTCCTCTCTCCTCCTCCTGGTCCCTCGCTCCTCCTCTTTCCTCCTCCTGGTCCCTCCGCTCCTCCTCTCTCCTCCTCCTGGTCCCTCGCTCCTCCTCTCTCCTCCTCCTGGTCCCTCGCTCCTCCTCTCTCCTCCTCCTGGTCCCTCGCTCCTCCTCTTTCCTCCTCCTGGTCCCTCCGCTCCTCCTCTCTCCTCCTCCTGGTCCCTCGCTCCTCCTCTCTCCTCCTCCTGGTCCCTCGCTCCTCCTCTCTCCTCCTCCTGGTCCCTCGCTCCTCCTCTTTCCTCCTCCTGGTCCCTCCGCTCCTCCTCTCTCCTCCTCCTGGTCCCTCGCTCCTCCTCTCTCCTCCTCCTGGTCCCTCGCTCCTCCTCTCTCCTCCTCCTGGTCCCTCGCTCCTCCTCTCTCCTCCTCCTGGTCCCTCGCTCCTCCTCTCTCCTCCTCCTGGTCCCTCGCTCCTCCTCTCTCCTCCTCCTGGTCCCTCTGCCTCCTCCTCCTCCTCTCTCTCCTCCTGGTCCCTCCGCTCTTCCTCCTCTCTCCTCCTCCTGGTCCCTCGCTCCTCCTCTCTCCTCCTCCTGGTCCCTCGCTCCTCCTCTCTCCTCCTCCTGGTCCCTCGCTCCTCCTCTCTCCTCCTCCTGGTCCCTCCGCTCCTCCTCTCTCCTCCTCCTGGTCCCTCGCTCCTCCTCTCTCCTCCTCCTGGTCCCTCGCTCCTCCTCTCTCCTCCTGGTCCCTCGCTCCTCCTCTCTCCTCCTCCTGGTCCCTCGCTCCTCCTCTCTCCTCCTCCTGGTCCCTCGCTCCTCCTCTCTCCTCCTCCTGGTCTCTCCGCTCCTCCTCTCTCCTCCTCTTGGTCCCTTCGCTCCTCCTCCTCTCTCCTCCTCCTGGTCCCTCTGCTCCTCCTCCTCTCTCCTCCTCCTGGTCCCTCGCTCCTCCTCTCTCCTCCTCCTGGTCCCTCCGCTCCTCCTCTCTCCTCCTCCTGGTCCCTCGCTCCTCCTCTCTCCTCCTCCTGGTCCCTTGCTCCTCCTCTCTCCTCCTCCTGGTCCCTCGCTCCTCCTCTCTCCTCCTCCTGGTCCCTCGCTCCTCCTCTCTCCTCCTCCTCTCTCCTCCTCCTGGTCCCTCCGCTCCGCCTCTCTCCTCCTCTTGGTCCCTTCGCTCCCTCCTCCTCTCTCCTCCTCCTTGTCCCTCTGCTCCTCCTCCTCTCTCCTCCTCTTGGTCCCTCCGCTCCTCCTCTCTCCTCCTCCTGGTCCCTCGCTCCTCCTCTCTCCTCCTCCTGGTCCCTCGCTCCTCCTCTCTCCTCCTCCTGGTCCCTCGCTCCTCCTCTCTCCTCCTCCTGGTCCCTCTGCTCCTCCTCCTCTCTCCTCCTCCTGGTCTCTCCGCTCCTCCTCTCTCCTCCTCTTGGTCCCTCGCTCCTCCTCTCTCCTCCTCCTGGTCCCTCGCCCCTCCTCTCTCCTCCTCCTGGTCCCTCCGCTCCTCCTCTCTCCTCCTCCTGGTCCCTCGCTCCTCCTCTCTCCTCCTCCTGGTCCCTCCGCTCCTCCTCTCTCCTCCTCCTGGTCCCTCGCTCCTCCTCTCTCCTCCTCCTGGTCCCTCGCTCCTCCTCTCTCCTCCTCCTGGTCCCTCGCTCCTCCTCTCTCCTCCTCCTGGTCCCTCTGCTCCTCCTCCTCTCTCCTCCTCCTTGTCCCTCTGCTCCTCCTCCTCTCTCCTCCTCCTGGTCCCTCCGCTCTTCCTCCTCTCTCCTTCTCCTGGTCCCTCGCTCCTCCTCTCTCCTCCTCCTGGTCCCTCGCTCCTCCTCTCTCCTCCTCCTGGTCCCTCGCTCCTCCTCTCTCCTCCTCCTGGTCCCTCGCTCCTCCTCTCTCCTCCTCCTGGTCCCTCCGCTCCTCCTCTCTCCTCCTCCTGGTCCCTCCGCTCCTCCTCTCTCCTCCTCCTGGTCCCTCGCGCCTCCTCTCTTCTCCTCCTGGTCCCTCGCTCCTCCTCTCTCCTCCTCCTGGTCCCTCGCGCCTCCTCTCTCCTCCTCCTTGTCCCTCTGCTCCTCCTCCTCTCTCCTCCTCCTGGTCCCTCGCTCCTCCTCTTTCCTCCTCCTGGTCCCTCCGCTCCTCCTCTCTCCTCCTCCTGGTCCCTCGCTCCTCCTCTCTCCTCCTCCTGGTCCCTCGCTCCTCCTCTCTCCTCCTCCTGGTCCCTCGCTCCTCCTCTTTCCTCCTCCTGGTCCCTCCGCTCCTCCTCTCTCCTCCTCCTGGTCCCTCGCTCCTCCTCTCTCCTCCTCCTGGTCCCTCGCTCCTCCTCTCTCCTCCTCCTGGTCCCTCGCTCCTCCTCTTTCCTCCTCCTGGTCCCTCCGCTCCTCCTCTCTCCTCCTCCTGGTCCCTCGCTCCTCCTCTCTCCTCCTCCTGGTCCCTCGCTCCTCCTCTCTCCTCCTCCTGGTCCCTCGCTCCTCCTCTCTCCTCCTCCTGGTCCCTCGCTCCTCCTCTCTCCTCCTCCTGGTCCCTCGCTCCTCCTCTCTCCTCCTCCTGGTCCCTCTGCTCCTCCTCCTCTCTCCTCCTCCTGGTCTCTCCGCTCCTCCTCTCTCCTCCTCTTGGTCCCTTTGCTCCTCCTCCTCTCTCCTCCTCCTGGTCCCTCCGTTCCTCCTCTCAGATATATAATAAAATGTGATATTTTATTTCCTGGGGTTAAAAAAGGAATAATATTGAGAGCCTTATGTACAATTTACAAACAAAACATTTTGTGTGTGTGTCTGCCTGTGTGTGTGTGTGTGTGTGTGTGTCTCTGTGTCTGTGACTCCGTTTGTGTGTCTGTGTCTGTGTCTCTTCATGTGTGACTCCGTGTGTGTGTCTGTGCGTGTGTGTCTGCCTGTGTGTATGTATGTGTTTGTGTGTGTGTCTGTCTCTCTGTGTCTGTGTGCCTGTGTCTCTCTGTATGTGTGTGTCTGTGTGTGTCTCTCTGTGTGTCTGTGTGTGTCTCTCTGTATCTCTGTGTGTGTGTGTGTGTCTGTGTGTGTCTCTCTGTGTCTGTGTGCCTGTGTCTCTCTGTATGTGTGTGTCTGTGTGTGTCTCTCTCTGTGTCTCTCTCTGTGTGTGTGTGTCTGTGTGTGTCTCTCTCTGTGTCTCTGTGTGTGTGTGTGTCTGTGTGTGTCTCTCTGTGTCTGTGTGCCTGTGTCTCTCTGTGTGTGTGTGTGTCTGTGTCTGTCTCTCTCTGTGTCTCTTTGTGTGTGTGTGTCTGTGTCTGTCTCTCTCTGTGTCTCTCTATGTCTCTCTGTGTCTCTCTGTGTGTGTGTGTCTGTGTGTGTCTCTTTGTGTGTGTGTGTCTGTGTCTGTCTCTCTCTGTGTCTCTCTATGTCTCTCTGTGTGTGTGTGTCTGTGTGTGTCTGTGTGTGTCTCTCTGTGTGTGTGTGTCTGTGTCTGTCTCTCTCTGTGTCTCTCTGTGTCTCTCTGTGTCTGTGTGTGTCTGTGTGTGTCTCTCTGTGTGTGTGTCTCCGTGTGCGTCTACAGCTGCTGCTGGAGGAGAGACTGACCAGTGCGGTGCTGTCTCCAGCCGTGGGGGTGTTTGTGGAGCTGCTGTGGCGAGAGGCTCTGGGCTGCGTGGACCACATCCTCCGCTCTCCCGTCTCCAAGATCAGTCTGAACGATGTACGCAACACAACAAAGTCCAAGAGGAAGCAAACTGATACACAACTACAACATACACACAACATAAGGAAGTGCACAGAAAGCAAACTACACAAAGGAAGAGAATGATACACACAACTGTACTCTTATAATCTGTCATTTTTGTTTCAGTAAAATCAGTTCCATGACTCGTTTCTCTTAACATTTACATTTTTTTAATTGTCTATGTGACAGGGACAGAACATGTTGTTTTTGTAGTTTATTTTCTTTGACCAATATTTAACTCAGGTCACACGTTTTCAGACATTTTACATATTTTACTACAGGAAAAAAAAACTAAAAAACGCATTGACTGCCAGCCGTTTTGGATGATTTCGCTGATTGTCAAGGCCCACAGAATATTATGGGCTATGACTATGTGGATGTTTTAAACCAGATTCTGAAAGACTGGATTGTCTATTTTCATCAGCAAAAATAAGTGTGTTTCTAGCTATTTTTGTTTCTCCTTTAATCCCCAGTCTCCAGTTTCTCAGGAGATTCCGTCAATGGCAGTCAATGAGTTAAGAACCTTAGTGCGACACCATACCTGACCAAAAGGGGTTTAGGCTGAAGTCAAAACTTTTACTGCCTGACCCCTATTACAATGTGACAATCCTGAGTGGAGTTTGCATGTTCTCCCCGTGTCTGCATAGGCTCTGTGTGAAGGGAGAGACTAATGCCCATGATTGTAAAGTGCTTTGTGACTCTCGTCTGTGAAAGGCGCTATATAAATAGAGTCTGTCTCTCCACACAGAGGTGGGAGGGGCCAGTACAGGAGGCACAGACCTATTGTACATGTTTTTAGTGGTAGGGGAAACCGGAGCACCTGGAGGAAACCTACGCAAACTCCACTCAGAAAGGCCCTGTTTCGACCGGGATTCGAACCCAGGGCCCTCTTGCAATCATACATGTGAACCTATATTTAAAGTCTTGAATAAAAACACCATTGTCTTCGTGTCTGTGCACAGGTGACCAGAGCAGAAGGACTTTTACACCAGGTCCAAAGAAAACTACAAGAAAACAAAATGGAGGAGATGCTTTCTCTCTGGTCTGAGTACGTCACTCTTCTTCCTCCTCGGGTTCCTGTCAGTCCAAACACGGCATCCATCTCCCAACAATTCAACCTCTGCCAGGTTTGTTTTTATGATATTCTTTATAGAATTGTTAGTGACGATGATGTCGATAAGTCTGGATCAGGGGTGTCCAAACATTTTAGTGATAGCCACTTAAGTTTATAAGACTTGTCTGAAAACCCGGATTAAAAAACAGTTTTGAACGTTTAAAATCAGCTTGGATAAGGCTAACGTTAACTACACTAGCAAATTAATTTTGTTCCACGATCAAAAACAAGTAGCGAGTATAAACAAGGAACAAGCTTTAGTCTATAATTACATACATATAACGATGGAGCTGAAGTTGGCTGTATGACACTGTGAACTGGTGTCGATGATATCGTGAGGGCCTGATAAGAGGGACGCTTTTTTATTTATTTATGTATTTGATAGGGACAATGCACATTAATGAACATCAGTATAAAACAAAAATGTAAATATGCCAGATTATAGCTACCAAAGAAGTTTTCATCCGTAGTCCCCATAGGCAGGAAAATACATAAAAAATGACAATAAAATACAAAATAATACAATACATTACAGACAGCACAGAGTGTAGTGTCACATGGTTCCTGTTCAGCCATTGTTTTTTATTTATTTCACCTTTATGTAACCAGGAAAGTCCCATTGAGATTAAGAACCTCTTTTTCAAGGGAGTCTTGGACAAAAGTTACATAAAGTTACATACATTACAGATTATAACAACAGTTACATACAGATTATAACAACAGTTACATACAGATTATAACAACAGTTACATACAGATTATAACAACAGTTACATACAGATTATAACAACAGTAACATACAATTTCATAAAATTACGGATTATAAAAAACAGTTACATTTCAGTGAGGACGTCTCAGTCTTAATCTGGATCTGAAAGCATTCAATGAAATAAGTTCAGATCATTTCCAGTCTTTTTACAACACGTTCCATGAAGAAGGAGCAGCAACATTGTATGTTTTGTGTTTTAAAGGTGGTTTAGATGTGTTTGTCTAAAGTCTTACGTCTTGCCTCTGTTTTAGGTCATTAGGGACATTTTAAACGTCAGTGAAATGACTTTAGGAAGCGCAGCACCGTCCAGCGTTGGTAAATACCGCGCCCTCAGGTGTGGCATTCAAGCTGTCTCTCCAGAAAGCTCAGAGTTTGAAGAAGTTACCAATTTACTTCCAAACAGGTGAATATTATGTTTTCTGAATGTATTTATGAAAAAGAAGAGTGACTTAAACCTTGTGTTCGTTCTTGTTTATTACAGTAACGTGAAAGTTCATCAGGTTTTGCGAGTGGACAGAGCGTCTGAGCTTCAAAACTTTAGAAGGGAACTTGGAAACATCAAAGCGCTCCTACATTCATCCAGTCCTCACAACTTTGTGGGAATCCTCTCTCGGTAAAAAAACCAATTAATAATAAGACTCTCCTTTTAGTTTGGAACATGTTTCATAAGTGAAATTAATACTCAATTATGTTTCCTAATGTACAGTTTGGCTTTAAGTTTGTGTAAGCCTTCAGTCGTACAGGGATTAGTCAAAGCAAAGGAAGGTTTGGCTTTAAGGCTTACACACCCAGGCGGAAAGGATTATATGGCAATAGAGATTTTATTTTATTTATTTTATTTATTTTATTTATTTTATTTATTTTATTTATTTTATTTATTTTATTTATTTTATTTATTTTATTTGAATGTATTTAATGTTTTTATATATGTATTTTATTTATTTATTTATTCATTATTATGTGTGTGTGTGTGTGTGTGTGTGCGTGTGTGTGTGTGTAACCAGTATAAATGAGCGATATGAACGTGAGGTTTTAACAAATTGTGAAGACTTGTATTTTGACCAAATGTAAACCGTACATCCATAAATGTTATTTTAATGTAAATATAACATGAGCTCAGGGACGACAGGTGGAAAGAGCTCTGAGCTATAACCTGCTACAATGAGGTTAATGTTTATTGTCCACTGCCTTTGTGGTGTTGCAGTGGCCTCCTTCTGCCTCACGTGGCCGTGGACCAGCACGGCGTACAAAGAACTGATGCCGGTGACCTTGGCGGTGGAATCTACTTCAGTGACGACATCAAGTCAGTTTCTGGAAATGTTTTTGATTTATTACAAACAAACTAATCCTCAATAATAATCTGTGTCCTGTGGTTTTCAGAACGTCTGTGAAATACTCCCAGTGCAGCTCCAGCGACGGGTCTCGCCTGATGTTGGTTTGTGACGTGGCTTTGGGCCGATGTTTGGACCTGTTCCAGAAAGACCCGACTCTGACTGAGGCTCCGCAGGGACATGACAGTGTCCATGGGGTCCAGGGAAGACCCGGCCTCCAGTCCCAGTTCAAGGTACCGTCTATGTACAGTACTAGTTTGGTTATGTACCGGTCTATGTACAGTACTAGTTTGGTTATGTACCGGTCTATGTACAGTACTAGTTTGGTTATGTACCGGTCTATGTACAGTACTAGTTTGGTTATGTACCGGTCTATGTACAGTACTAGTTTGGTTATGTACCGGTCTATGTACAGTACTAGTTTGGTTATGTACCGGTCTATGTACAGTACTAGTTTGGTTGTACCGGTCTATGTACAGTACTAGTTTGGTTATGTACCGGTCTATGTACAGTACTAGTTTGGTTATGTCCGGTCTATGTACAGTACTAGTTTGGTTATGTACCGGTCTATGTACAGTACTAGTTTGGTTATGTACCGGTCTATGTACAGTACTAGTTTGGTTATGTACCGGTCTATGTACAGTACTAGTTTGGTTATGTACCGGTCTATGTACAGTACTAGTTTGGTTATGTACCGGTCTATGTACAGTACTAGTTTGGTTATGTACCGGTCTATGTACAGTACTAGTTTGGTTATGTACCGGTCTATGTACAGTACTAGTTTGGTTATGTACCGGTCTATGTACAGTACTAGTTTGGTTATGTACCGGTCTATGTACAGTACTAGTTTGGTTATGTACCGGTACTACTGCTACTACTGCTACTGCTGCTACTGCTGCTACTGCTACTAATGCTACTGCTACTACTTCTGCTACTACTACTACTGTTACTGCTACTACTGCTACTGCTGCTACTGCTACTAATACTAATAGACTTGAAACATTCACTCAAATGCATTCAGGTTTTTAATGAGACATATTTTCTCATGATCTTTTAATGAACCTTAGATAAAGAATAAATCATTCTTCTCTTTGTCCTCTGCACGTTCAGGACGATGAGTATGTGGTGTACAGCGCTGATCAGGTCAGACTGAAGTATGTGGTGAAGTTCAGCCTGGAGGGAGAAGAAACCAAAGCACTCACCCCTGACATCCTTCAGCCCGAGCAGCCACAGCTGCCCTCGCCTGACTACGGTACACTGTGCTCTTCTGCTCTCTTATTTCTCTTTTTATTCACTTACTTTGTGTATTTATGGATTTAGGGGTGGGTGCAATTGAGGAGGACCTAAGTGACATAGAAAATCCTCTTGAAAATGTCACGGCTGGACTTTTGGACCGTTCTGGACGACAGATTCCACTGCAGGCTGTTCATGTCAAGTGCAAACTGATGGACTTACTTTCTCAGGTTTAAGAACTATTTAGTTTAATATTGTACAATTGAAGTTAACATTGTTTTGACTTCATTTTCTATGTCAAATCTAGGTCATCATTTTTCAGAAATACACCAATGGGAGCTCCATGCCCATAGAGGCCAAGTATGTGTTTCCTCTGGATGACCTCGCAACAGTGACTGGATTTGAAGCTTTCATCAACGGCAAACATGTGGTGGGACAGGTAATGAGACGCAGGGAGGTGTCCAGGCTAAAGGGAAAACAGACACTCGGACTGTAGTATTGACCACTTGCATGTGACGTCCCGGCCACGCCCACTCTCCGTGACATACGGCGGAAATCTAACTGCGAGCCTATGGAAACCTGACCAAAACAATCTGTTTCAGCAAATTACAGCCAAAACTGTGATACTTTGCAGTGCGGTTGATTGTTCTAACAGGCAAGGACATAAGCCAGATGTGTGGTTTTATCTGATACCTGCTCGTCGTGAAGACATCAGACGACGATAACGGAAATCAACCAAAAGGACTGGCAGCCGTGTACTCCCTAATATACAATGAACACTTTTTACAAGATAAATCAATCACAAGTTGTATTTATTTTCTTCCCATCAATTTATTTGGAGGACAATGATACAAGTCAAACATGTCTCTTACTAATGTCCTGTATGTGCGCTGCAACATGTTCCCCGCTGTGGCACGAATAAAGATCTATCATCTTATGTCTAATAAGATGATAGATCTTATTAGACATAGTGAAAAAGAGTCAGTTGCGTTTTTCACTATTTCCCAGGTTTGGCTGTGGGCAGAAAAGCCACAGAAAAGTGGACTATTGCTAATGCGCTAATGCTACCAGCTAAATGTACTTTTAAATCTGCTCCAGTGTGAGGGGATGCATTGTTAACGACATAATGATAAATATTATGTGGGGTGAATTCGGACAAAATTAGACATTTAATTTAATCGATACTGGGGGGAGAAGGTACGGGTCAACATCCAGTTAGGCGATCCTTAACTTCTCCAAATACCACTCTTTGTGAGCCCTGACCTGATGTCCTACTTCCACCTATAACGTAATCGAACATGTGCTTGAAGCAGCCACTTCTCGATTTAGGAGAGGAAGCTCCGTTTTTAAGAGTTGTGTCCGTTTTGCTTGCGCCGCAATGCTAGTTTCCACTACTTCCGCCGTAAGCTCATTCACAATCACGTGACTGGATGACGTTGATGCATCTGGTCAATACTGGATATAAGAAAGAAGTAGCTCTCATGTGCTCATATTTAAGCTGTGTTTGTCTTTGTGTCTGCTGTAGGTAAAAGAAAAGGAAACGGCCCGGAGAGAATACAAGCAGGCTGTAGAGAAAGGCCACGGGGCCTACCTGATGGACCAGGACGCTCCTGTGGGTTATGTATTTTACATGCATGTTAACAAATGTACCGTTTTATTCAACAGGATGTTGTTTTTGTGTAGGACGTGTTTACTATAAGTGTGGGGAATCTTCCTCCTGCAGCCACCGTCCTGATCAAAGTGACCTTTGTGTCTGAGCTGCTCATCAGAGACGGCAGCGTGGTCTTCTCTCTGCCCGGCAGTGTGGCCCCGTGGCAGCAGAGTGCCGCCCTGAACCAGACCACACAGGTCCAAGTCATAACGTTATATTTATAGTAAAGTAACGTGAAGTACAGGATGTATTACTTTATAATAAGTACAGATATAATGTTCATGTTGTACCATGTCCACAGGTAACTGTAGAAAAGCTCTGTGTCACTGATGAAGAAGCAAACTCCAGGTGAATGAAATATAATGGTTTATATAAACATAATGTATAATATAAATACATTACTCATATTTTAATATGAATTATCTTTTTATTTAGAGAATTTAATCTGGACATGTCAGTGGAAATGCCTCATGAAATCACTGAAGTCAAATGCATCACTCATAAAGTGAAAGTTAAGGTGAGCTTTTTTATTTTTCTTTACAATCATTTCCTTTTTAGTTTTTTGACTTTAATTATAATTATTTAACTTCAGAAAACTGCCTGTAAGGCGGTGCTGAGTGTGCTGCCTGGAGAAGTCATGGGACCAGATGGATTTCAGGTCCAGGTCTCTGTCTCTGAGGTCCATGTTCCGAGGATGTGGGTCGAGAATCACCCCAGCAAAGAAAGCCAGGTTTCACTGATCATTTTATCAATATTGTGTTTCATTAACCCAATGAAAATACATGATAATATAAAGATAAGATAGACTTTATGGATCTCTGATGATGTGATTTGACGGTACTTATTGTGGCCATACATGTGTAGATGTCGACTGATCTTTTTTATAGCTCAGTAATTATGGTTATTGACAAAGTGACCCCTAGAATCATGTCGTGTCTGCAGGAGATTACCATTAAAATAATAATATAAATGACTCTAATAAATGACTAATAAATGCATGTTCTCTTCCAGGCTTGCATGCTGGTGTTCTACCCAAAGATAGAGAGCGCCTCCAGCAGCAGCTCAGATGAAGTGGTGCTGTTGCTGGACGCCTCTGAGTCCATGAGGGAGTCCCTGAACACATCACGGACGCTCGCTCTGGAGATCCTCAAAACCCTCCCGCAAAATGTCAAAGTCAATGTCATTTTCTTTGCCACCGGTGCGTAGAATTGAGTTATTTTTACATTTCACAATTCTGTATGTAAGAGCGAAAACTATTGTAAATAATGAGGTTTGAAATGAAATGGTAAAACTGACATTTCCCCGGTTCCCTCAGATCACACAGAGGCCTTCCTTTCTGCCAGGCCGATTGGAAAAGCTCGCCAGGAAGCAAAGAACTTCATTAAGGTAAACTGAGTGTGTTTTTACTATCAGCACGTATTAATAGTGCTTTTTATTCAGTACTTTTCAAATTATCCACATATTATGATGATGCCATGACAACAGGATAATACCAGCATCCATCACTCTTTGGGCTTATATCTCTCTTGAGTCGTGTATAATGTGAAACCGAACAATCTGAAGACGGCTTAACACAGAAGCGTAAGCATGACATGGTGTCCTCCCAAATTACAGAATGCTTTACTTCTATAAGAGATAAATCCTAACTTTTATGAATGCAAAAAACAATATCCATCCACCCATTTTCTTCCTCTTTACTCAATTTTTCTGCCAAATCGCAATAAACGGTGAAATGAACTAGCATATGCCACTTCCACAATAGAGTAATAATCACAGCAACCCATTGAATACATGAACAAATGTGTTTTATAGATAAATATCACTTAAATGAACTTATGATAAAAATAATCACAACAGTAATTCCATTTCTGCAACTAAATTGTTTTACAGGAAAATACTAATTATGTTTAAGTACAATAGTAAGCGATTTTGTTAGTTTAGCCGTAGCACCAACTGGAAACCACTCCCCTCCCCTCCCTCTCCACCAACCCCCCCCCCCCCCCCTCCCCTCCCTCTCCACCAAACCAAACATCCAGAATTTTCATAACGTTATTCAAACGTGAAATTGTCATTTTCTGTTCAGCCATTTTAGATATTAGAAAATCCGATAACTCCGGTGCACTCTGAGAAACAGGAAGAGGGTGAAGGGGTAAACACATCCCATTGGTTTATTTTTATCGGTCCACTCCAAAATATGTTTTGATATTGTTGTAGACTATAGACATCTGGTCAACTCCATTACCATTTGAAAACACATGATTACTTTTAGGGTTTAGGGACGTTTTCCCACAATATTTAAAAAAATTGTGAAAAAATCACTGACTGCATCTTTAACAATCCGTCCAGTAGTAATTATTGTGTCTCTGTCTCCTCTCCCTCAGCACTCCTCATCAGTAGGGGGCAGCACTGAGCTGTGGCGGCCCCTGCGGGTCCTGAGCCTGCTGCCTCCCTCTAGTGGCACCAGAAACCTGCTGCTGCTGTCGGACGGTCACATCCAGAACCCAGAGCTCACTCTGCAGCTGCTCCGACAGACGGACTCGCACTCTCGCCTCTTCACCTGCGGACTGAGGTTTGGACTCGCCCAGAACGATTACGCTTTCATTCACTATTTACTATTGTCTATGTACCAGTGTTTCCCGATCAAGGAGATACTTTAAGCTGTGGTCCCAAATAAATGGAAGTAAGAAATAAAATCCATCTAACTAGTTCCTTGATCCATCACTAGTTTTCGACATAGACTGTAAATATTAACAGACGCCTATCTCCGCCGTTCTAACTAATGTGCCACAACTTCCGCGGCCAATGGGCAGTTTCAAAATGGCCGCGGGGGCTAGAAAATGTGAAAAAACCATAGACTGTATATTTTAACGGACAGAGTCACGCCTATCTCCGTCGTTCTAACTAATGGGCCAAAAAATGTGCTCTACTGGAGCTATCCAAAATGGCTGCGAGTGGTCCCGCCCACAAGAAAATTGTGGAAAAACGCATCTGTGCATGCGTCAGCCGGAGAGAGCTCCATTCATTTGAACGAGAGACTTAAAAAATTCACAGCGACTAAACTAGACTGGACCAAAACACCCCCCTCAGCATTGACACACATGTGGAACGGAGCTTTGGGCCAAGAGACAACTTTTGGACCATCCTGTAAAGACGTTTTCCAGAGGTCTGCCAATGATATATGTTAGCATTGGCTAATTCTACTTCCGGGTCCACCCCCACAGGCCCGGGGTGGTATTGCAGCATGTCAGCGCACGTCATTTTGGACACTTTTGAGCTGGGACCCTCCCCCACTGGAAAAAACGCATCTGTGCATGTGTCAGCTGCACGAGCCCCGTTCATTTAAACGAGAGACTTCTAAAGTCCACAGCGACTAAACTAGAGTGGTCCAGAACACTCAGCATTGACACACATGTGGAACGGAGCTTTGGGCCAAGAGCCACTTTTGGACCATCCTGTAAAGACGTTTTTGAGAGGTCAGCTAATGCTATATGTTAGCATTGGCTAATTCTTATTCCGGGTCCACCCCCACAGGCCCGGGGTGGTATTGCAGCATGTCAGCGCACGTCATTTTGGACACTTTTGAGCCGGGCCCTTTGATGACAGATTGGGGGGTAAATAAAGGGGACAAACCATCCAGGTAATTACTGTTTCTCAAAACAGTTTTCCGAAAGACTATGGCACAGCTTTTGATCTGCATTTTCAGACGGAAAAGAGAAAGTTTGCCTCACCGCTTTTGGCAAATATAGATTTTCAAGTTTCCAAAGCAATGTATTTATTTTTTAGTAAGATGAGGCAGCCCTTTGTGGCTTGATATGTTCACAATAATAATATTACTGAAACAAAAATGGCTTTAATTCAGCGATATTCTTCATTTCAGCACCACCGCTAACCGGCACATGCTCCGGGCTCTGGCTCACGCTGGAGGAGGAGCCTATGAGTTCTTTGACCATAAATCCAAACATACCTGGTCTGAAAAGGTGAGACTGTCAGTATTTTATATTTTGGAAAATCTCAGCTTTAGGTTAAGTGTAAACCGTATTCAAGATGTGTTTACTTGGAACAAACTATTTCTATTGGTTGTATTGTTACCACATGAATACTGCAAAACAAAAGAAATAATCCTAAACCCATCCTGTAATCCCAAAACTGATGCAGTGTGGCTACAGTCTGTGAAAAACTTTTAAATATCCAAAAGTGTAATGTCTTTATTGTCCTGCAGGTGGCGTCTCAAGTGAAGCGGATGTTGGCTCCGGGGGCGAGGTCTGTGTCTGTGAAGTGGCAACAGTTTAACTCAACAGCGCCCCCTATACAGGCCCCAAAGCAGATCCACTCCCTGTTTAACGACTGCCACACGCTGGTCTTTGGCTTTGTGCCTCACTGCACTCAGGTATTTACACACACCGTTATCGTTGTGTGTAAAAAGTAATCTGTAGAATAAGTGGGTTTTGGTTTCCATGTGGTGTAGCAAAAAGTAGAATAACAAAGTAGTAATAATAATCAAAATGCAGTCATGTAAGAATGTGCTGTATTATATAAAATGTCTTCTGCTGATGCTGCAGAGTCATCACTAAATACGACATAAGACACAGATACATACTGTGTAATCGTAAAATGTATCATGTGCTCTTTTGGGTGGCACGGTGGCTGAGTGGTTAGCTCTCTCGCTTCTCAGCAAGAAGGTCCTGGGGTCGGAACAGGACCTTACTGAGTGGAGTTTGCATGTTCTCTCTGTGTCTGCGTAGGTTTCCTCCGGGTGCTCCAGTTTCCCCTACCACTAAAAACATGTACAATAGGTCTGGCAGCGCCCCCTGTAGGTGACCCCGCTCCCATCTCTGTGGAGGGAGAGACAAATGGCCACAATTGTAAACCGCTTTGTGACTCTGGTCTCTTACTTTTAATCCTCCATCCATCCATTTTCTTCCCCTTGATCCATTTCTGGGTTGGGGTGGCAGTCAGAGTTGCACCCAATACACAGGAGCCTTGATCTTTCAGTGGGGGCTTCAGGCAAAGTGGGGTAAAGAGTCAGTTACATTCAGACTGTTAGAAAATGTTATAATTCAATCTTGTGGTTTCTTGAAGGCGACTCTTTTTGGAAAACTCAGTGAAGAGGAGATAAACACGATGGTGTCGACGAGTGAGCTTCAGAAAACCAGGGGCACAGTAAGAGACTAATGAAGCATGAATTAATTAAAACATGTGAACATTTGATTGATTATTACATGCATTTTTAGTTTCTTCACAAACTCACAGCAAGAGCCATAATTAGGGATTTTGAAGATGGAAGCCTCGACTCAAATGCAGTTCTTCATGAGGTGCGTCTGTTTTTCACATCTGCATAGATTCTCTTATATATAGATAGATATTTTGTTGTTTTTGTTATTTGTTTAAATTAAAATAAAAACTACAACTAGATGATTGTGTTTTTAGGAAAAGAAAGCTGAGCTGAAGTCCTTAATCATCACGTTAAGCAAAGAGTTCTCCATCCTTTCTCAGTTCACCAGCTTTGTGGCCATAGAGGAAAGGGTAAGTTCCATTCACTTTAAAGGAGCAGTGTGTAAACATGTGGCCAAAAGTGGTACTGCAGCCTCTCCCACTCTCCCTGACTCAGGTTGCCAGATATGCAGACGAATCCAGCTGGGACCATAACAGCTGAATAGACAAGAGTTTTGTCAACAACAAATCTATAACCAACACCTTTTTCACAAAGATAGAAATCCTGGTTTTATTCCTTGTTTTGTCGTTAATGATTTGAGAATCATAACGAGACCTTTTTTAGTTCTGCGCCACATGGTACTTTACCAGTGAGATTAGCTCCACGCGGTGAGTTCTGGCGCCCGGATCACAGACTTTCTGATTGGTGAAACGGTGGAGGGCGGGACATGATGACCCTTAAAGGGCCCTTTAATGATGACAGATTAGGGCCCTTTAATGATGACAGATTAGGGCCCTTTAATGATGACAGATTAGGGCCCTTTAATGATGACAGATTAGGGCCCTTTAATGATGACAGATTAGGGCCCTTTAATGATGACAGATTAGGACCCTTTAATGATGACAGATTAGGACCCTTTAATGATGACAGATTAGGGCCCTTTAACGATGACAGATTAGGGCCCTTTAATGATGACAGATTAGGGCCCTTTAATGATGACAGATTAGGGCCCTTTAATGATGACAGATTAGGGCCCTTTAATGATGACAGATTAGGGCCCTTTAATGAGGACATTAAAATCTTACATATTACTACTTTAATGTAATCATATTTTAGGACTCTGAAGAAGAGCGAGGGTCCACAGACGTCCCCAAACTCATTTCTGAAGAAGATGTGGATTTCTTGCCGTACATGAGATGGGAGGAGGAGGAAAAAGTGAGTACATTGATAAAAAAATAAATAAATAATATAAATAATAAACATTTTCCTGTTTCTTTCTCTTGTATTTCTGATGCAGATTTGTGGTAATTCACTCATTATGGAGAAGGGTGTTAAATGTAAAGAAGCTGATATCTGGGTTTTCTGTATTATTTTCTCCCAAATACATTTCATTTGTTCAAACTATCATTATTTTGGTTAAATAATGTTGCCTACGATTAGTACGTTCATTCATACAATAATTGATCAAACAAAAAGAAACATGATTACACTCTAACAACTACATTCTTTATGTTTCTTTATTTTCAGGAACTAACTGTTGGAGCAAATGTCAGTTTTGCAGCGGACTGTGAGGAAGACGTTGAGGAAAACTTGGAGGAAGACTTGGAGGAAGACTTGGAGGAAGACTTGGAGGAAGACTTGGAGGAAGACGAGGTATATTTAATGAGAAAGCTGAGGAGGAGTCAAGATTGCAAGGTCCCTGTAGGTCTCTTTAGGTTCCTGTAGGTTCCTGTAGGTCTCTTTAGGTCTCTGTAGGTTCCTGTAGGTCTCTTTAGGTCCCTGTAGGTCCCTGTAGGTCCCTGTAGGTCTCTTTAGGTCCCTGTAGGTTCCTGTAGGTCTCTTTAGGTTCCTGTAGGTTCCTGTAGGTCTCTTTAGGTCTCTGTAGGTTCCTGTAGGTCTCTTTAGGTCCCTGTAGGTTCCTGTAGGTCTCTTTAGGTCCCTGTAGGTCCCTGTAGGTCTCTTTAGGTCCCTGTAGGTTCCCGTAGGTTCCCGTAAGTTCCTGTAGGTTCCTGTAGGTCCCTGTACGTTTCTGTGGGTCTCTTTAGGTCCCTGTAGGTTCCCGTAGGTTCCTGTAGGTCTCTGTAGGTCTCTTTAGGTCCCTGTAGGTTCCTGTAGGTCTCTTTAGGTCCCTGTAGGTCCCTGTAGGTCCCTGTAGGTCCCTGTAGGTTCCCACAAGTCTTAAATCCATTGAAACAATGAATCTAGAAATACTACCTTAAAAAGACATGAATTCTGATAATTGGGTTTTCTGTGTTTTATTCTCCACAAATACTTTGCGTTTGTTCAAACTATCATTATTTTGGTTAAACTACACAAACCACATAATAATATATAAGTGTGAAAGGTTTTAGAAGTAAATCACCAAAGTAGTGGCAGTTAGAGGTAGATACAGACAGATACAGTGCCTTGCGAAAGTATTCGGCCCCCTTGAACCTTTCAACATTTCGCCACATTTCAGGCTTCAAACATAAAGATATAAAAATTTAATTTTTTGTCATGAATCAACAACAAGTGGGACACAATCGTGAAGTGGAATGAAATTTATTGGATAATTTAAACTTTTTTAACAAATAAAAAACTGAAAAGTGGGGCGTGCAATATTATTCGGCCCCTTTACTTTCAGTGCAGTAAACTCAGTCCAGAAGTTCAGTGAGGATCTTTGAATGATCCAATGTTGTCCTAAATGACTGATGATGATAAATAGAATGCACTTGTGTGTAATCAAGTCTCCGTATAAATGCACCTGCTCTTTGATAGTCTCAGGGCTCTGTTTAAAGCACAGAGAGAACCATGAAGACAAAGGAACACACCAGGCAGGTCCGAGATACTGTTGTGGAGAAGTTTAAAGCCGGATTTGGATACAAAAAGATTTCCCAAGCTTTAAACATCTCAAGGAGCACTGTGCAAGCAATTATATTGAAATGGAAGGAGTATCAGACCACTGCAAATCTACCAAGACCCGGCCGTCCCTCCAAACTTTCATCTCAAACAAGGAGAAGACTGATCAGAGATGCGGTCAAGAGGCCCATGATCACTCTGGATGAACTGCAGATAACTACAGCTGAGGTGGGGATGGTGTGTTCAGGGTGATGAGCTGTGTTGCTTTTAGGCCAAACATATCGTTTTGCATTGTGGCCAAAAAGTTTGATTTTGGTTTCATCTGACCAGAGCACCTTCTTCCACATGTTTGGTGTGTCTCCCAGGTGGCTTGTGGCAAACTTTAAGAGACTTTTATTGGATATCTTTGAGAAATGGCCACTCTTCCATAAAGGCCAGATTTGTGCAGTGCACGACTGATTGTTGTCCTATGGACAGACTCTCCCACCTCAGCTGTAGTTATCTGCAGTTCATCCATCATGGGCCTCTTGGATGCATCTCTGATCAGTCTTCTCCTTGTTTGAGATGAAAGTTTGGAGGGACGGCCGGGTCTTGGTAGATTTGCAGTGGTCTGATACTCCTTCCATTTCAATATAATTGCTTGCACAGTGCTCCTTGAGATGTTTAAAGCTTGGGAAATCTTTTTGTATCCAAATCCGGCTTTAAACTTCTCCACAACAGTATCTCGGACCTGCCTGGTGTGTTCCTTTGTCTTCATGGTTCTCTCTGTGCTTTAAACAGAACCCTGAGACTATCAAAGAGCAGGTGCATTTATACGGAGACTTGATTACACACAGGTGCATTCTATTTATCATCATCAGTCATTTAGGACAACATTGGATCATTCAAAGATCCTCACTGAACTTCTGGACTGAGTTTGCTGCACTGAAAGTAAAAGGGCCAAATAATATTGCACGCCCCATTTTTCAGTTTGTTATTTTTTTAAATAGTTTAAATTCCATCCATCCATCCATTAAGGGGAAGAATCCCCTTAATCCATTTCTGGGTCGGGGGGGCGGCAGTCAGAGCTGCACCCTGTCCACAGAGCACCAGCCCCTCACTGATCCTCCTGCAGGTGGTGAGTCCACAGGAGCTGAGATCTTTCAGTTGGGGCTTTGGGCAAAGTAGGGTTAAGTGTCTTGCCCAAGGACACAACGACAGCAGTCATCAGTGGGAGTCGTGAAGTAGGTATTACGGTGGGCTCGAACCCACGACCTTCAGGCCCAAAGGCCAATGCTCTACCAACTGAGCTACTGTCACTGACACTGACTGTAACTGAGCTATAGTTTAAATTATCCAATAAATTTCGTTCCACTTCACAATTGTGTCCCACTTGTTGTTGATTCATGACAAAAAATTAAAATTTTATATCTTTATGTTTGAAGCCTGAAATGTGGCGAAATGTTGAAAGGTTCAAAGGGGCTGAATACTTTCGCAAGGCACTGTACTTTATGGATCCCCGTCGGAGAAATGCAGGTGTCCAGCAGCAAAACTAAAACATTAAGTTGATCTTTCTAAAAAGTATCTAACAATAGTAAAAACAGCAGTCCTTCAGGTCTGGACCAGTGTAAAACCATGAATCCTCTCTGCTCTGGTCTGGACCAGTGTAAAACCATGAATCCTCTCTGCTCTGGTCTGGACCAGTGTAAAACCATGAATCCTCTCTGCTCTGGTCTGGACCAGTGTAAAACCATGAATCCTCTCTGCTCTGGTCTGGACCAGTGTAAAACCATGAACTCTGAACTGCAGCAACATCTCAGGCAGAAAAAGCAAGAAAAATAAAAAAAGATTTACAGTTAATTTAAAAATGATCTTGTCTGAAATAAAAACATGAATTGGACTTGCAGAAACCCTGTTATTGGTATAATTGAAATCTCAAAAGAAAGACATTTTACTGAGATTCTGTTTGTATTTAACACCTCACAAATAACACAAATATACATTTTATAACTGAGCTTGTGCTGCAAGAAAATACACCAAACGTACAGATGATGATGTGTTATTTTTGTCTTTAAACAGTGGATTATGGACAATGAAAGTCTGAAGTCTAAGAAGAAATGTAAGAAAGTGTTTGGGGAATTACATGAAGAAGTCTATGAATGTATGGACATGTCTCTTGAGATTGAAGAAAATGTGGAAGCGACTGAAGAAAGTCAAAGTCTCGCTGATCCCGACTCCACATCATCTGAGTCCGAGGAAGACTCAGAAGCTGTTTCTTTAAATCCGGATACTGCGCAGTTTGATACAATTTGCTGTCGTTCTAACTGGATAATTCGCCAGTCCCCACCTCCTCTGCCTTCTCCACCTCCACCTCCAACTGCTCAACTCCAAAGAGATGCTTCCTTACATTCAAGGAAGAGAACTGATGCTAAACTCCTAAGAGGTGCTATTCTTAATACAGTCTTATGTTCAAGGGAAATAACAACTGCTCCACAACTGGATTCTCCACAAATGGATTCTCCACAAATGGATTCTCCACAAATGGATTCTCCACAAATGGATTCTCCACAAATGGATTCTCCACAACTGGATTCTCCACAACTGGATTCTCCACAATCAGAATCTCCACAATCAGAATCTCCACAATCAGATGCTACTTTTTCTTTTGGATCCCATAGTCGTCTAATGAGACCATGTCATTCTGTGGCTGATCCTCCTCCCCTTCTTCTTTTTGAATCCTCTAAAGTAAAAATGGGAGGAGGTGCCCTGCGTGACCGAGCACGGTTGTCTCCGATGGCTCGTCTCCAGAGGGCTTCATTCCAACGTGATGCAGCACCAGATTTTGTTCTTCCTCCAAGCCCAAAAACAGAATTCCAAAAGTCAATGCCGGTTCTTCTTCGTCCTGTTGCTGTTCAACAGTCATCTATATCTTTGTCTAGACTCGAGAAAGACTTCAGCCCTATGGCTCTGAGATCATCAGTGCCATATTTTGGGTTAAAGAGACAAACCTCTGAAGGTGTCTCAATGGAGGCAGGACCAGAACAATCTACTCCACAATCAGATTCTCCACAATCAGATTCTCCACAACCAGATGCTATTTTTTCTTTTGGATCCCATAGTCTAATGAGACCATGTCATTCTGTGGCTGATTCTCCTCAACTAATCCAAAAGAGATCCAAATTTATAACTCATGCTTTTCGAAGGTCTTTGTCTCAAGTCAAGAGAAACGAAGGCCCTCCTCCACCACCTCCTCCACCTGCTCCACCATCTGCTCAGATACAAGCAGATCCCATAACCATTGGTGCTCCACCTCCACCTGCTCCACCACCACCTGCTCCACCATCTGCTCAGATACAAGCAGATCCCATAACCATTGGTGCTCCACCTCCACCACCACCACCTGCTCCACCATCTGCCCAGAGACAAGCAGATCCCATAACCATTGTTGCTCCACCTCCACCTGCTCCACCATCTGCCCAGAGACAAGCAGATCCCATAACCATTGGTGCTCCAACTCCACCATGGCCACAACAACAAGCACCTGCCTTTCCCCAAAGAGATTCTGTTTTTCAGGGGGCTTCCCTAGAAACTGAGATTTGTGGTATTCCCCATCCCCCAGGCCTCCCCTGGCCACAACGACAATTGTGCCCATTACAGCCTATTACCCATGAAGCAGCACACCCTTCAATCACTGCCCAGACACTGCCTGGAGCTGTTCAAGGATCTAGATCTATTCCGTACATAAAACCTTGTATGATTTCCTCACTTGACATGAATATCTCTTCGGCCGAGACTTTCTATGGATTTGGATCTTCTGGAATAGAAAACGGTAGCATTAGCAGCAAGTCAATGGAAAACTTGGAACGAAGAATACCTCTAAGACGTAAGGCTCCATCTATCATGTTTAGCAAACAAGTTCGACACTTCACTTTGTCTCCCAATTGGTCATCTATATTCCTTTTGCAACGCCCGGTAAGATGAGCACAAATCAGTATTTCTTTCATGTATTTTGTCTGGAGTTTGAGAGACTTTCAACCCTATGTTGCAGGAAGGTTATTGGGAACTTACTCCGGAACTGGGAACTCTACTAAACTGCAATATATCCCACTTTGCCGATGATTTCCTGAAAAGAAAGGGCATTGCTTCACTCGGTCAGTCTCAAACCCGTGTGTGGTTAGAATCTACAGAAATGTTTTCTTGTAAACTCTCATCCCATTTAGGTTTGACTTAGCCTGGCCTTATCCATCCGTACTCTCTGGTCAATCATCATGTCCTGGGTGTAACGTCTGGGTCTGGTCCCTGTGTTTGAGATTACAATCGGTTGAATTCCATCTGACCAATCAGAGAGCGTGGGAGGCGGGTGTTGTAGTTAGATGTGGGTGACGTCAGAGTGTCGAACGAGCAGGTTGTAGAATGTGATAGTAAAGTATTCTGGTCTGGTTCTATCAAATAATAATAATAATACATTGTACTTATATAGCGCTTTTTTGGACACTCAAAGACAATTTACAAAGAGAAATAAGAAACAAAAAATAAAAGCAAAAAATAAACAGTTAAGTGTAGGCAGTTTTGAACAGGTGGGTTTTGAAAAGTTATTTGAAGTTCTGTAGTGACAGAGTGGCCATTGATGGTGAGGGAGATGTTCTGGGCAGAGGTCAGCACTAGATCATATACAGAATCGGGACGGAAGCGGAAGTAAATATAACAAACTACCTATTTTTGCCTAAACTTAACCAGCCATCCCCATAAAATAACCCCAACCCACCTTAACCCTAACCTTAACCATCTTACTCAGACCACCTTAACCCTCACCTTAACCATCTTACTCAGACCACCTTAACCCTAACCTTAACTATCTTACAGATTCAGATTCATTTTATTAGCCATGTGCAGTATAAAAACTACATTGGAATACATTTGCAAAAAAAAGGTAGTCTGTGTGCACTGACAGAATAAAAAGCACGATACAATGTAATATAAAATACACATACACTGAATATAAAAGAATAAAAAACAGCTGACACTGTGGCACCGATCAACAAAATGATACAAGGGGTAAAAGCAGGAATTAAAGTGCTCTGTTTAGGCACCTAACAGCCTGTGGAAAGAAGCTGTTAGCATAGCGAGATGTCTTGCATCTCAGCGACCGATATCTTCTGCCAGAGGGAAGAAGCTGGAACATGGCTTTCCCAGGGTGGCCAGAAGAGTCATTGATGATTATAAGAGCTTTGTTTAAAAGTCTGGATTTATAAAGAACCTCCAGAACAGGAAGCTCACAGCCCACGGTCCTCTTTGCAGAGCGGAGCACCTTAACCCTAACCTTAACCATCTTACTCAGACCACCTTAACCCTAACCTTAACCATCTTACTCAGACCCACCTTAACCCTAACCTTAACCATCTTACTCAGACCACCTTAACCTTAACCATCTTACTCAGACCACCTTAACCCTCACCTTAACCATCTTACTCAGACCCACCTTAACCTTAACCATCTTACTCAGACCACCTTAACCCTCACCTTAACCATCTTACTCAGACCACCTTAACCCTAACCTTAACCATCTTACTCAGACCACCTTAACCCTCACCTTAACCATCTTACTCAGACCACCTTAACCCTAACCTTAACCATCTTACTCAGACCACCTTAACCCTAACCTTAACCATCTCACTCAGACCACCTTAACCCTCACCTTAACCATCTTACTCAGACCACCTTAACCCTAACCTTAACCATCTCACTCAGACCACCTTAACCCTAACCTTAACCATCTTACTCAGACCACCTTAACCCTAACCTTAACCATCTTACTCAGACCACCTTAACCCTAACCTTAACCATCTTACTCAGACCACCTTAACCCTAACCTTAACCATCTTACTCAGACCACCTTAACCCTAACCTTAACCATCTTACTCAGACCACCTTAACCCTCACCTTAACCATCTTACTCAGACCACCTTAACCCTAACCTTAACCATCTTACTCAGACCACCTTAACCTTAACCATCTTACTCAGACCACCTTAACCTTAACCATCTTACTCAGACCACCTTAACCCTCACCTTAACCATCTTACTCAGACCACCTTAACCCTAACCTTAACCATCTTACTCAGACCCACCTTAACCCTAACCTTAACCATCTTACTCAGACCCACCTTAACCCTAACCTTAACCATCTTACTCAGACCACCTTAACCCTAACCTTAACCATCTTACTCAGACCACCTTAACCCTCACCTTAACCATCTTACTCAGACCACCTTAACCCTAACCTTAACCATCTTACTCAGACCACCTTAACCCTCACCTTAACCATCTTACTCAGACCCACCTTAACCCTAGCCTTAACCATCTTACTCAGACCACCTTAACCCTAACCTTAACCATCTTACTCAGACCACCTTAACCCTCACCTTAACCATCTTACTCAGACCCACCTTAACCCTAACCTTAACCATCTTAATCAGACCACCTTAACCCTAACCTTAACCATCTTACTCAGACCACCTTAACCCTCACCTTAACCATCTTACTCAGACCCACCTTAACCCTAACCTTAACCATCTTACTCAGACCACCTTAACCCTAGCCTTAACCATCTTACTCAGACCACCTTAACCCTAACCTTAACCATCTTACTCAGACACCTAAAATTTAACCAGTCACCACTTAAGGACTTATTAGTCTAAAACTAATTTGAAAGTAGGATTGTTACTTCCGGTTTCGTCCTGAATCCGTGTATGATCTAGTGCCGACCTCTGGGGAGGAGGGATTTGGGGCCCATGTTTTATTGCTGTTGAGTTTGGGAAAATTGTAGTCCATCCATGTCAGAAATGCAAAGTGTGCAAGAAACTGAAGCCGGAGCAAGAGGAATGTTTAGCAAATGTAATGGCTAAAGCTAGGCTAAATGCTAAAAACTCACTCGGGCAAATTACATACGAAACTCAGATCCAATGGTTTCAATCTGTAAAAAGAGTTAGCCCCTCCCACCTGTTAACGGAGTCAATGCAGCAAATACAGACCTTAGTACCAAATGTAATTAGTACTATGGTGTGGTACGACCAGGCTAGGTGTGACTGTTTTCCTGTTTGTTTCTTCTGGTGCCTCAGGTCTGAAGGCTCATGCAGACATCTTGAAACTTCTGGCCACGCTTCTGGTTTTGCAACTGATGAGGCTGCAAAATACCAAAGAGGGAACGATGCTGCGGACTCTCTTCCGCCTGGAGGACGGTGCAGACAGGTCTGAACACTCCTCAATTCTTGATTATTATTTAATTAATTATTTCAATATTCATTTTGTTATATGTTCCCGAGTCTTGTTTCCGCTTCACGATTATATCTTTCATTTCTGCATGTCTATCTCTACCTTTTGCGTCTATTTTATCTTAAGAAAAAAAAGTTTGAAAGGTCCTCAGAATCAAAGCGTCGGCCATTAAATATTAAGCAATTTACTGAGAGTCAAGAGATCTGAAAATCCAAAAAAAACAGTGAAAACAAACTAAAATAATAATGGAAAATATCATGTTTTAGTTTGGAGTCGACTCACACATTTCATTTGAACATTCTCATTGTTTTTTGCTGAAATACAAAATTAAGATATTGAGTCAACAACTGACCTAAGACTGTATTAAACATATTTATTAAACACAGAGTAGAGTTAAAATTTGTGGCAATAAAGTGGACAATGACTGAAGTGAAAGATGGCCCTAATCTGTCATCATGAAAGGGCCCTAATCTGTCATCATGAAAGGGCCCTAATCTGTCATCATTAAAGGGCCCTAATCTGTCATCATGAAAGGGCCCTAATCTGTCATCATTAAAGGGCCCTAATCTGTCATCATGAAAGGGCCCTAATCTGTCATCATGAAAGGGCCCTAATCTGTCATCATTAAAGGGCCCTAATCTGTCATCATTAAAGGGTGTAGCAGCTAATTCTAATCTGAGCCGCTTCTCATGCTGACGGACATACAGTATTCGTTAACACGTACATGTAGAATGAACGTCTCTGAGGATTGAGGTGTAGTTAAAATCATTACTTTATTGTTACAAAACTAAAATCTAATTCCATAAAAGGCTCAGTCCCTCATATAAAGAGACGACCACAAACACGGTCAACAAACGTGTGTCCTGTCCGTCTGGCAACTCCCACCAAGGTACAAAGGTTCCTACTTAAATTACTGCCACTGCCCCAGCATGACCTGTAGATGGCCCTAAAGCGCTGCTGGCTCCGACAAAGGGCCCTAATCTGTCATCATGAAAGGGCCCTAATCTGTCATCATGAAAGGGCCCTAATCTGTCATCATTAAAGGGCCCTAATCTGTCATCATTAAAGGTCCCTAATCTGTCATCATTAAAGGTCCCTAATCTGTCGTCATTAAAGGTCCCTAATCTGTCATCATTAAAGGGCCCTAATCTGTTGTCATTAAATAACCACTTTTAGCCACATTTTTACATACTGCTCCTTTAAGTCTAATGATTTTTTTATATTATTACAATGAATGAAAACTTGCATTGGTTTGAACTCACAAATTACACCCCAAAATGCAAAGCTACAAGTATCACTTATTTTCTGGCTGGGCGATATGGCAAAAAAGTAAATTAAAGTAGTATTTCTGCTCAATATTCAAGTTTCAAACCTGTTTTTAATTTGTACTGCGCTGATACTCTATCCTTCATTCCATTTCCCCATTTTCACATTTTTCACGAATTCAATTTTTTAAAAAGCCGATTGCCTAAATTTTATTTTTTGCCCAGCCCCAATTTCCTCTCATACTTGTGTTTGTTTCCAGGCCTGAGTACTGGGCGGCTGTGAGCAGGGCCGTGCAGTGGGCGTGTTGGGCAGACGGGCAGTACCCCTGTGTCTGCAGCCGCCTGGAGATCGGCCTGAGCTGGGACTCTTCCACCAAACAGCTCCTGGGAGCAGAGAGCATCCAGCCCTGGTCCCCTCTGACAGGACTGGATCTGAACCCCAGACCGTACCGAGGTCCCATGATGCGTTGTTAGAGTCAGCCTTTTACTTTTATTACAGATCTGCAGAGTTGACCAAGCAGATCATTCAGATGATTCTATACTCTTTAAAAACCTCACACTGTCACGTGATGAAATGATAGGACCCAAAATGCAGGAATGCAAAAAATAATGATTTAATAAAATAAATGTCCAGGTGAAAACAAAACTCAAAATCCAAAATACAGAACCAGGAAAACAAAATCAGAAACAGAACAGAAGTTGACAATACAATGGACCAGCAACAAGAGGAGAGGAGCACAGGGTAATTATAGACAGAGACACAGGTGAAACACATCAGGGCGGGGCAGACAATCAACACAGGGGAAACAGGACGACAAAGTCAAACTAAAACCGAAGCACAGAGAACAGATTTCAAAATAAAACTAAAGTCCAAAATAACAAAATCCACACCATGACACACACATGGGTTTATTAAAGTGGTGGATTCTATAGTTCTGTAAATGTTTGGGTCTGGAGCATTGTGATACACTTGTTTGTGGGTTCATGTTTTATTTCATTACAGCTGTGAACAAATGTAGTAAAAAGAAAATGTTTTATCAAATGTTTTACCCAGATCATTAAATAACACTTCATTTATCACACAGCTCCTCACAGCAGCAGCAGAACGCTCCAATGACTTGAAAGTAATTTCAAAATGTTCTACCGGTCATTATTTCTTGATAACTGACCTCTCAAAACAATAATGGCCGCTGCCCTTTGGCAACGCACGCTCTGCTTGTAATTCAGATACAGTAGATTACTCCGACAGTAGTTCGTACACTTTGTCATTTAAATGTTAATGGGAGAATACGTTATACATAAAAATTCTTAACACACGTGCACAGAGGTTTTCAGAATGATTTGTTCATGTTTTCATGATAAAAATACTGTTTTAATGCGAACTATTAACATTAGCAGAGCATTTTATGAACATTTGCAGAGGATCTGATGGATTTAAGTTCAGTTTATGTTTGGGTCACTCACCGCTGATGTTCACAATTCTTTGTAAAGTTTTCTTGTAGTTCCAGAGAGTTCTAGTTTTGAAGAAGGTTAGCTAGGTTTCCTCCGGGTGCTCCGGTTTCCCATACCACTAAGGCCCTGTCCACACGAAGTCAAGCTCAGGCCTAAACGCAAAAATACTTTATCAATCCAGTGTATCGTCCATACGAGGCCGGCGTTTTGGGGGGGTGTAAACGAACATTTTTGAAAGTAGGTCCCAGAGTGGAAAGATTTCAAAACTCCGTATATGCCGCTCCGTGGTTACTGCCTCTCCGCAATGTATCTGAGACGCTTGCGTCATCGCCCCGCCTCTTGTTAAAGCAGCATGCGCCGCACTCAGAAAATAATGACAACAACAATGTAGCTTGTTGGTTTTGTAATCCAGTGCGACCCGAAGCAACAGTTCAACCTCATCGTCCGTCCATACTAATGTAGTACCAGCTCGCCCACTCGCCATGTTGTCTGTTTACAAAATTCCGCGCATGCCCAGTTCCCGTCACGGAAGTTTGGGCTTGATCCCGTCATTGCGTCACAGCGCCACCAACAGGTCTGGCATAGTTTCACAGCGTTTTCAGGCGTATTGACTACATTCATATGGACGCACACATTTACTGAGCTAACTCCGTGTTTACAGAAAAAGTTTCTGAAATTATAAGCGTTTTGTCTTCGTGTGGATATAGCCTAAAACATGTACAATAGGTCTGTGCCTGTGCTGGCCCCTCCCACCTCTGTGGAGAGACAGACTAATGCTCATAAACCGCTTTGACTCTGGTCTGTCAAAGGCGCTGTATCAATACTATTTCTTACTTACTTAGCTAGCCTTGTTACTAGCCTAGTTGTTACTCGCCTGCCACGGGAAAAGCTTTGGGAACTATTTTATTTTCTGTCATTAAAAAAACCTTTTGACGTTCATCAAAGTGGACAGAAGTTTATGTTGTGTGTTCTGTTGGTACAAAGCCGTATAATAAGCAGATAATGTATAGTACGCACCAACATGTCTGCTTCTGCCTTCATATGTACAACACTTTTTAAAAACAGTGAAGTATAACTACATAATGGGGCGACAGTGGCCTTTGAGCCTGAAGGTTGTGGGTTTCGATCCCCCCACGAGACCCTCTCCACTGACTCGTGCTGTCGTTGGGCAAGACACTTAATACACTTTGCCTTTAAAGAACGCAGTGATGTTCGCTGCATGCCCTGATGTGTGTTTATCAAACTGACATTTCCTCACTGTGGGATGGATACAGGATCTTCTTCTTCTTCTAATATTGTGATATATAAAAAAGTAATAAAGGAGAATAATATGATACGGTCCACAATAAGGAATGTCTTTGTACTATGTAATGTATTAAAGCCATTTCTCAAAGATGTGGTTCTCATTAATAAAATATACCCAGGTCTTATCCATCTGTACTCTCAGGTCCATCATCATGTCCTGCAGGTGACGTCTGGGTCTGGTCCCTGTGTCTGTGATTACAATCGGTTGAATTCCATCCGACCAATCAGAGAGCGCGGGAGGCGGGTGTTGTAGTTAGTTGTGGGTGACGGCAGGAGTTTGCGTCGAACGGGCAGGTTTAGGGTTGCCAACCGTCCCTTGAAAAACGGAATCGTCCCGTATTCACAAACAAAAGCACCCGTCCCGTATTGAGCAGAAAAGGGACGCACTTTGTCCCGTTTTACTGTGAGTCAAAAAATGGTGGGTAAAGAGCCAAAGGAAAATGAATGGCGCGTTAGATGAAAAGTTGTGGTAAACTTGTTCCAGACCAGGCCCCGTTCTGCTCTGACCAATGAGGTGACAGCATATTCACACGCGAATAGAATAGGCTCATCCCATTGGTCGAGCCTGTTGTTGCTTGCGGAGACGATAGCGGAAGACAACAGAGCAGCATGGGTGACACAAATGCCAGATTGGATAATAATCAAAAGAAAAAGATTGAAATACATTTTTGGTCAAATATAAGAACAGCCTCTGATAAGATGACTGTGACTCCAGTTACAGACACAAAAAAAGGTCCTCAGTGACAAAGTGGCAGATGAACTCTCACAGATAAACATTAAAACAACATGTCTTCATAAATAAACAAATTAATTACTTAAAAAACATAGTAAAAAAATACTGAACTTTCATCAAAAAGGGCAAAATTCAAAATGGAGAATATTTCAACAAAGAAAATTGTATAAAAGCACTGTACAAATGTCCATAATTACACTAAATATAGTCATGCTCCATGAGATAACCCTGTGCAACAACAGGAGCAGACACTTGAGCAGAAAGTCGCTCCCTCAACCTGATTGCTCTTGCATCTGATTGTCCTGCATCTCCTGGGGGCATCGGTCGTGGTGGTGGCTGGTCATCATCCCGATCCGGTTCCAGGACATCTCCGTGAGTGAGACAAACATTGTGAAGAAAAGCACAGGCAGTCACGACCTGAGTGCAAAAGGCTATCTTCACCTCTAACGCCTTAAACATTGTGGTTCTCCAGCGGGTCTTCATCATGCCAAAGGCTCTTTCAACGATTGACCGGGCACGTGAATGACAATAGTTGAACCGTTCCTCAACCCGGTTGTGAAGGGGCATCTTGTAGGGGGTGATGATGGTAATGGGTTGTTGAATGCAAGGATAGCCACCATCACCCAAAATAAAATATCCTTGTGGAGGGTACTCTGCTCTGACGTAGACTGGGCTATTCTTCAATACGCGGGTGTCGTGTACCGAGCCAGGGAATCCAGCAAATATGTTCAAGAATCTGCCACTTGAATCACAAATTGCCTGCATCTGTATGGAGTAGAACTGTTTGTAGTTGAAATAGTCCGCTTTGTTGTCACCTGGAGGCTTAATTCTAATGTGACAGCCGTCTACTGCTCCTACAGCCTTTTCAAATGCCCTGTGCCTGGCTAAACGGGCAAAACCTCTACCAGTGTCCTCCAACGCTTCCTGTGGTGGGTAGCATATTACTCGATGTGCATTCTTTACAATCAATTCAGCAATCTTATGGACAACACGACAGACGGTCGACTTCGGGACAGAAAAGGCCATGGCAGCAACTCTAAGGAAATCCCGTGTGCAAGCCAAGGCACAAATATGAGGATCTCCAATGGAAACCCCCAGCCATGATCTTTATCGGTCTTCAACAAATTCATCAGGCCATTCATTGAATTTCTGGTGAGGCGGTAGTGAGGTTGAAGCTCTTGCTCCACATCCAAGTAGACCTGCAGAACAGGCATGGTCTGGTTCAGCCTGGTGTAGGTCAGCATTCCTCCATTCTGATGAAAACGTGCATAAAATAGAACAAAATTATTGTCCTGATCAAGATCACAGTTACAGTCAATCGGCAGCAGCACTATTATGATCACAATCAAATCCAAAATTACTTTCAGAATAATATGAATGGAATCACTATCAAATAATAATCTGGTAAAGCAATGCTTTTTAGGAGAATATTGTTGACAGCTGCAGCAGTAGAAGTGTTTGTTTATTATTATTGATTATTGATTTATTATTGACCACTGAAAACTTGCATTAGAATGTGTTCTAAACGTATTTGATGCAAAGCCCAATAATACATAATTTTGCAGATTTTGTGTTATCTATTTCAACTTAATTGAGAGGAGTAAACTATGTTACTAGCCTGATTATCAGCCGGTTTCATTTCACTTGATGGAAACAGTCTGAAATCAAAATTCTAAACACAGTTCCTATTCTGAATAATAATAAGAAGTAACGCTTTGAGAAACTGCTGAACAATTAACTCTGAGAGCATGATAGCTGTGTTGTAAATGCCATTGTTTTCTAACGTTTGCATCGTTAGAAAACGCTGCACCATGGACGTCGGAACTATTTTCTGAGAGGGGGGGCGGGTTTTTGTTGGGAGAGTCGAGGGAGAGACTCATACTTGGATTACACTGGATAATAACATACCATCTTAATTGTTAAGAAAAACAAAATAAACAATATATATCAAGCAAGTCACTTATCAAACTGAACTTTTTTTTTTCAATACGCATTCATGCGTCAGTCTCTCCGGTGGCTTCATTGTGTTGTGTAGCCCAGTGACGTGCGGTCAGATGAGGCAGGCAAGGCCCTCACCTAAGATCATAGAAAGAAAAGTAATAAAATGGATACAATAATGTTTGGTCACTTTATCAAGTGATTTGTGCTGTGTCTTATTTCATTTATTTATACCTTGAAATCGCAGATTTGACAGAGCGGTGCTGTGAGGCAAGCCTCTCTTGGGAGACGTAAAAAGCAACAGCTCACAGGGAGAGTCCTGTGAGGTGCTATCAAACTGTTTTCTCTGTTTATCACAGTTTAAAAAGTTCAAAAATATTTAATTTACAATCAACATGTTTACATTTAAGAGGATGGTAAATAAGAACGAAGTTCCATTTGCTCACTTGCTTTAATGAGTAACAGCAGTAGAATGACAATAATCAAACATGTCATGAGCGTCTGATGAAGCCGGAAGGTTTACATGTTATGACTTCCTGTTCCGCTATGTCCTACAAAATAAAGGACCGTAATGCAATATTCCCTATCTCCCCCCGAGCCTTTAACACAGTAACACAAAGGCTGATAAAGAAAAACGGCACGAAGGACCATAGTGCAACACTAACGTGAAAGTGTACAGGGCAGAGGAACTAGAAACACAAATGGAAGATCCAACAGGAACACAATGCCCACAAAACCCCAAGACTATTCCAAGACATAGTCCCCATGCCAGGCAGGCACACCGGCTTTCCTGGTGGACCGACGTAACTCCGTAGCTGGCGACGCAGCCGGCGGCGAAGGGGCCAAGGGGGCCACAGAGTCCGGTGGCGGAGTACAAGGGATGTCCCGGGCTGGCACCGCAGGCATGAGGGAAACTGGCCGCAAACCGCGGCGGGGAGAGCCCGCAGGTGGATGTGTCGGCGGCGGGGTGGGCCCAGACTCCACCACAGGTGTCACCGGGCTGCACACACGACTGGACGGCAATGGCGACACAGGAAGAGCTGGCATCGTGACACAAGGCGCCAAGTCGTCATAGAGAGATCGAGGAGGAAGCTGGTCATTGCGAACTGGGTAGAACTTGCGCAAGAATCTCCGGTTCCGAAGCGAGACCCTGCCCGATCCGTCAATCTTGATTACATACTGGTCATGCTGGCGCACCTCCACAACACTGCCCGTCCTGTCCCATTTGTTGGGGTGAGGTCCCGTCTGGTTCTGCACACGGACAAAGTCCCCCACCTTGAGGGGTGGGAGTCGTTTGGTGTGTTCCGCCCAAGCAACAGCAGTGCGGACGTGGCGTTTGCGGAGGGCCTCTTCTCTTGCAACCAGCGTCTCACGCCATGTTTCGTGCGGCCTGTACTTCCCGGGGGGAATCGGGATGAAATCGCGTATAGGGCGGCCGAAGACACACAACGCCGGAGAAAGCTTCGTGTCAGGGTCCGGTGTATTACGGTATTGCAGTATCGCCCTCTGCACCGCGTCAGTGTCGAGTTCGCCGTGCGGACCTGTATTGTCAGTGATGAGCCGCTTCATCGTCTTCACTCCAATCTCCGCGCGGCAGTTGCTGTGAGGGAAGGCCACCGATGAGAGGCGATGATGCACACCCCATCTGCGCAGGAAAGACCTGGTCTCAGCGGAGGTGAACTCAGGCCCCCCGTCTGATGCCAGCTCCTCAGGCGTCCCATATGTTGCAAAAGCGCGGCGTAGGTGGCAAATGAGGTCCGCAGCGCCACCCGTTGATCTCGAGACGATTGGCCAGTTCGAGTAGCGGTCCACTATCACAAGGTAGTGCACGCCCCTGTGTATGAAAAAGTCTGAACACACAGCCTGAAAGGGGTATACAGCCATGATAGGAGGGGTCGGCGGCGCCGCAGGCTGAGAGGGTGCCATTCGGTGACAGTGCTCGCAGTCTTTTCGAGTGGCGGAGATGTCGGCCGACATGCCTGGCCAGAACACAGAAGACTCGGCACGAGCGGTCATCATTGAGACACCCTGGTGGGCAGCATGCAGGGCACTCAGTACCTCACCACGGAGCGAGGGTGGAATGATCACTCTGTCCTTGTACAGGACCACCCCATCAGCAGATGTAATGTCTTCGCGGTATTGGTGGAAGTTGCGAATGGCCACCGGCATTCCTGTCCTCGACTCGGGGAAGCCGTCCGCTGCTATCTCCTCCAGTGCACGCATGTCGTCGTCGCTGCAGGTGGCCTCCTTGACGCGATCCCACGTCACGGACCGCAGCGATTCAAGCCCAGCAGCGCACCAGGTCAGGTCTCCTTCCTCAACTTCGTCGTTTACTGGCCCTGTCAGTCGTATAAGGGACAGGACATCAGCGTGTGTGCTGGGCGAGAGGTGGGTCACCATGGCAGCATTGTCGTCCGGCAAATCCATGGGTGACGGGCACAGCGTGCCGACCGGCCTACGCGACATGGCATCCGCGGCCCTGTTCTTCATCCCCGGCACGTGCACGATGCGGAAGCGATAGCGCAGGGTCTTTTCCTTGAGGTTCCTGAGACGGGGGTTGGGTATGTCGTCGAGTGCCCTGTCGCCAAGGAGCTTGAGTAACGGCTTGTGGTCGACCGCCACGATCAGGTCCCTGCAACCTAAGACGAAGTAGCGTGCTTTGTCCAATGCGTCAGCGACTGCAAGAGCTTCACCTTCTACGGGCGCGTATCTGGACTCAGCTGCGTGTGTAAACCTGCTGCCAACCAAGGTCACCTTCCACCCATCGGCGCAGCAGAAGGGTCTGACCGGCATGCACTGACAGTGCTTCTGGAACAGCCAGAAACCGACGCCCTCCTTCGACCAGTCTGTGGCGAGGCACGTCGACTTGGACTTGTCGAATATGCGGACGCCGTGCTCGATCTCCCGGACGATGGTCTCTTTCGACTCGCGGAAAATGTCCTCCAACTCCGGAGACCACTCAAAGCGTGTCTCATGCTGCAGGAGTTTCCGGAATGGTTGCATACGTTCGGCTATGCTAAAGGCGTAGGCTACCTGATTGACAAGTCCGAACCATGACCTGACGTCGGTGACGTTGCGCGGTCGTGGAAAGTCTCGGATCGCCTCCAGGTAACGGCTGCACGGGCGTACATCAGACATGGTGATTGTGAAGCCAGCAAAGTCCACTGTGGGTGCAGCAAAGACAAACTTATCTGGGTTGAGGATGATGCCGTTCCTGCCACAGACGTCCAGCCATTGTATTGCCTGGAAGTAGCTCTCCTCAATCGAATCCGCCCACAGTAATGTGTCGTCCACACACTTGGTCTTGTTGCCAATGTCCGCGACCACTTCGTCATAGCGTCGTGAGTAACCGTCCCCCGACGCCAAGTATCCTTGTGGGGCTGAGAGGTACCGGTAGCGCCCCCAAGGGGTGATGAACGTCGTCTTGTGGCGGTCGTCCTCATGCAGTGGGACGCTGTGATAGCCATTCCAAGCGTCGAACACAGTCTTGCGTTTGCCACTGGGAACCTGTCTCGCCTGGTGGAAGGGGGACTGTGTGTGGTGGGTCTCACGGAGCGCATGCTTGTTCAGGGCTTGGAAGTCGACGGTGCGCCGAGGTGTGCCATTCTTTTTCGCGCAGACTACCATGCGATGGCACCACGTCACCGGCGTGCCGATGGGCACCTCTTCCAGGACGCCAAGACGAACGTCCTGGTCAAGGCCTGCCTTCACTTCATTTTGCCAGTGTATGGCCACGGGAATCGGGGTGTGGCAGGCAACTGGCGTCGCATTTTCATTGAGCATGAGTCGAAGTGGCGGACCGGACATTCTTGGCAGGGGCTGGTGGGGGCACGTATTGAATGTGCTCTGAGCGTATAGCCCCAGTAGGTGTTTCCGTAGAGCCTCTCTGTTAGCTTCAGTGGCCGGCATGGGGAGCGTAGTCGGTCTGGTTGGGGGCTCCGCGCGTTGCGGGCAGTCACATGGGTCCGAGGTCGCCAGGTTGACCTCCCCGAGCGTTGGAAACTTGTCTGAGATCATGCCCAGGTCTACACAGGCCGTACGAGAAAGGAATATACGGTCTGAGGTGTCTGTCACGTATGCGATTTGGCGCGTCTCCAATCTACGGGCGTCGCTGCTGGTACCAGCGAACCTGACGACGGCGGCCCCGAGAATCCGTATTCCCTCATCGTTTGCGGCCTTCATCGTCATGGATACGGGAATAAGGTCTTCTGTACTTAGTCCCAGCCGTTGGGCGACTTTGACACCGATTAGACAGCTCTGGCACCCTGTGTCAGCCATGGCAGGCAGGGTCACGGCCCGGGTGCGTTTCTGAAGGTCGAGGCCCAGCGCTTTGTAATCCTCGCGTTCGATGGTGATGGTGAGGTGGATGTATGGCTGTGGGTTGGATGGCCGCCTCGTCCACTTATCGCACATATCATCATACAGGTGGTGGGCGAGGGGAAGTGTGCGTATCTTGTCGTTAGAGCTACTTGCAGTCAGCGTGCATAGCTCGACGAATGCGGCCGTCTGCTGTTCGTCACACACCCCATCAGTCTCCTCTGGTGGGGGCCTAGGCGAACGACCACCTAAGCAGGCCTTGTCAAAGTGGTTCTGACGACTGCATTTTCGACACGTCTTGCCATATGCGGGGCATTCAGCACGCCTGGTGCGCCACTGTGGTGTTTTTCCATGGCCTGTCTCGCCGCAGTAGATGCACGCCCCCTCAGGCTTGACCTTTGATGTCTCTGTCCTGGTGCCCCCTCTGGTACGGGTGTCCTGCTGCTTCCCTCGTCGGTACGAGCTGCTGACTGCGTCTGTGCTCTGGGGACCAAGTAGCCGTGATGCTGAGCGCTTTCCTGACTCTTTAGCTTCGATGTATTCTATCATGTCCCTCAATGGCATATTTTGATTTTTCTCGCCAAGCAGATCAAGCTGTATTTCTTGGTCTGCTATGCCACGGGCGATTACGTCGCGCAGTATGTCCTCTGTGAAGTCATTGACTTGGTTGCACCCCTCTTTGGTGCAATTCATTTCATATTTACATGTGTCCGCCTGCCCTTTCAAGCGAGCGTAGAATGATCGGATGGGTTCTTCGTGTCCCTGTCGCATGTTAGACAGGGTCACTCGAGCTACCATTGTGTTCTCTGCACGCACAGCGAGTGCCCTCATGGCAGAGAGGACATCCTCTTCCTCACTGTCCACTAGGCTCTTGCCTGCTGCGCGGGTGAGGTCCTTCCTCAGATCTTCCTCACAGCACTCCAGTAGTTGTGTAACAATGTCAGATCCGATCAATTTGGTCCCCCTCTTGTATTCACCCCAGCGGGTTAGAAAGTATGACCAGGTCTCAGCCGTCCCTGCCAACGCTATGGAGGGGCGCTTGAGTTTCTCCATCTTAGCATTCATGTATGGCTCCCTGGGGGCCGCAGCGTGCGTGGTCGCATGTATGTTCAGCATGGCTACCACTACTGCTATTTCTTCATGTGTGGCTACATAGTCACAGTTTTCAACAGGGCAATGCACGCTCATCTTTGGTCTTGCAGTGTTATGCTTTCTCTTCTTTGTTTTCTATGATGTACTCATTCATTCATGTTCCCGGGCGACGTTGCTCACTCGTGGTCCACTCACTTGTTTATCGATGCTGCAGGTGCTGCACTCTGGCGCAGGTGCTCTCTGCTCGGCATTGTTCGCATGTTTGATTATAAATAAGAACGAAGTTCCATTTGCTCACTTGCTTTAATGAGTAACAGCAGTAGAATGACAATAATCAAACATGTCATGAGCGTCTGATGAAGCCGGAAGGTTTACATGTTATGACTTCCTGTTCCGCTATGTCCTACAAAATAAAGGACCGTAATGCAATATTCCCTAGATGGCTCATAAATTGTGTTTTTGAAGCAAATATGGGTCTTAATCGCGCTCAACCACAGCTTGTAAGTGAGGAAAGCCTCAGGGGGGCGCTTGTGAGCCCAAACTTTGGCTGCATCCAATTCCATCAGAAAGCTCCTTTCTTGTTCTTCTTCTGCTAAGGGCAGCTACAGGTTTGGCTAACATACCTATAATACATTTTAAGATAATTTAAAATGCACTTAGAGTAATGTTTTGCTTCCAATGATGATATGAATCATAAGAAAAGGAGGTGAAGGGTAAGGTTGAATTTAGAAATTGGATTTAACCGTGAGTCGGCTGCAGCAAAACTCGGAGTTTACGGAGGAGACACCCGTTTTTTTTACTTTTTAAAACTTATTTCCAAATGGAGGATTACATGTCTGTGCTCAAACTATTATCTGGACTTAAACATGAAACTGGTCCTAACTGAAGTGGTCTGTGCTGTTCATTAATACCTAAGGTAAGGCCCATAACACACTTTGTACTATTTACAAACGTTTGCGTTTTGTATGAGAAAACTATGCAGACATTAAATCATATTCTGCTGTAGCCAAACAAATTGTGTATAAGCCGCTCCTGTTCCTGTAGGTCCTGTTGGTTTATATGATGTATAATCATATGAACACATGATTGATCCCCCACCGCACGTCACTGGTGTAGCCAGGTCTCTAATCTGCGCAAGGCTGAGAAAGAGCGCTCAGAGGCTGCGACAGATATTAGCCAGACAGAGCTTCATAAGCTTCTCCGACAGCATGGAGCGGGTTTTGGGCTGCAAGGAACGCAGGATAGTGATAACTTCTCGCTCCCGGCACACGCGGAGGCACCCCCCGCACCCCTAGTTCCGACGTCTATGCGCTGCACTTTAGCCTATTCCTGGCGCTAGCACATTAGCAGAAAACTAAAAATAACGGTCTTACTACTGTATTAAGTAAATTAACGTACCAATTCAGACTCCTGCGCAAAGGCAAGAGCCTGGCGGATGAACCTCCTGTGTTGTCTGCGCCTTCTCCGTCTCAAAAAACAAATTTGCTGGAGTTTCTGCATATTTTGGAGCAGCAAATTCGCCAAAACAACCACCGGCTCCGCCATCTTGAATGACGCCAAACGACTGCGTCCTGAGGCACATTGATGACGTATACTCAACCGTCCCAATTCTGCAGTTCTTGCGCACTGTGCACTTGCACACTTGTACACTTATGTGCACTTTCAAAAAGTGCGCACTTCTCAAAGTGTGTAGTGCGCAAGTGCGCGATTTGGGACGGGGCCCAGTGATTTTCTGGGCGGTGCACCCTTTAGCAGCAATGCACCCTCGAGCAGGAATGCAGATACCCCTCTGAGGAAAAACACAAAGCGGATGCAAAAGTACCTAGCGGAATGGGAACAAGGAAATACCGGGGTGGAAAAAGTGCACAATAATGTACTCCGGTGGACTGGGAGGGCATGTGTGGTTTTGTTTGCATATTTCAGTGTGTTTTGTTTTGCTTTCATGCCTCCCGGTCACCATGGTTACCCCACACACCTGCCTGCCTGACTGATTAACAATCAGCACATCTGTGTCTTGAGCACATTACAAAAGAGGCCATGCAGTGAAGGGACAGAGGAGGGGGAAGATGTTAAAATGGGTTAGAGATTTCTTATCAGGTAGAAGGATATCAGTCCGAGTAGGGAAAGAGTGTAGCTCAAAGTATGAGGTCGAAAATGGCACGCCACAAGGTAGTATCGTAAGTCCAGTAATTTACTATACATAGTTCCCATGTGACGTCACCGCTGCCGGCCTGTCATTGCGTCCACCATTTTGCAGGGCAAAGTACGCGGCTGCTGCTGCTGCGAACATTGAGACAGATAATTTTCAGGGCTCTTTTTTTTTTACCAAAATGGTTTGTTCGTGTTGGGTACCTGGATGTACTAACAGAGCAAATGGGACTGATAAAGTAGGCTTCTATTCTATCCCAAGTGTCCGAGTGCATGAGGGAGATTTCACCAAATCACTGAGTGAGGAACGCCGACGACTGTGGTTAGCTAGTGTCAACAGGAAGGATGAACCTACGAAATTCTCGAAAATCTGCTCCAGTCACTTCATCACAGGTAGAGAGCAGTTGTATTCTCAACATATTTTCAATGTAATCAAGTATGTTTTTGTTTATAAGTGTGCACGTTGCTTTAGTTTGTTCCTAGCTATGCTACATGCTAAACCTAATGTCTGGGCAAACAGCTGCTTGAAGAAACTGATGACATGCTGTTTCTGAACTAGGGCTTTGACTTATGCACAAAAATCATTTTCGAAGTTTGTTTGTTCATTAATTTAGATATTCGAATATATACTAATATATTTAATTATAATTTACAAAAACACAAGTGCAAGGAGCTTTCATTGTCTGTTCAGGGAAGCTAGCAGAGCTTGGTAGTATTTGAATCGTGTCATATATTATGACTTTGAATTGATGTAATATTTCCACATTTCTTCTTTTCTGATTCTCAGGTCACCCTTCTAGTATGTATGAACGATCCAACCCAGATTGGGCACCAACATTGAAGCTTGGGGAAATGCTGACCCCTACCAAATCCCAAAAAAAACAAGCGGAGATTGAGACTAAACAAAAAAGGTATACACGATACATCCTCTTACTTGAAATAACCCTTGATGAAGGTACTTGTTTTGAAAGTCTAAATAAAAGTATTAACCATTTATGGTTCTTATATTTATTCAAACAGATTTCAGAGAGTGATGAAAAGACAAGAAACAAAAGAGAAGCACCATGCTGCAAGATGTCTTCTTGAACTCCATGACAATTTTCAACATGAGGACCCCATTCCACCAGAGGAACCAGATTGTCACGAAAGTCTAGCAGACACCAGCAATGACAGCGAAGCATCTAACCACTCCATCCCACGAGTTACTCAAAGTCAAGTAGAGAGTGAAAATCAAAGACTCTTATCAGAAAACATGATGTTACGGGCAGAACTAGAATCTCTGAAATTAACACAGAATAGCTTTCAAGATAACAATGAGAAAGTAAAATACTACACTGGACTGCCAAACTTTGAAACGCTCATGCTACTTTTCAACATTGTTTCACCCTTCCTCTGCAAAAAGAATATGCGCATAGGTGTGTTTGAAAGACTACTGATGACGCTGATGAGACTGAAGTTGAATCTTCCAGTAAAAGACTTGGCATACAGATTCAATACATCAACATCGACCGTTTCAAGAACATTTTTAATTGTTATACATATATTGTTTGTTCGGTTAGGATTTTTGATATATTGGCCAGAAAGAGAAGAACTGAGAAAGACAATGCCTATGGAATTTCAGACTTACTTTTCAAAGAAAACTGCAGTAATAATTGATTGTTTTGAAATATTTATTCAAAGACCAACAGGACTAATGGCCCGAGCTCAAACATGGAGCAACTATAAACACCACAATACTGTTAAGTACCTAATAGGCATCACACCTCAAGGTTCAATATCATTCATTTCGGATAGTTGGGGTGGAAGAGCCTCCGATAAGTTCATAACAGAAGAGTGTGGAATATTGAACAAGCTGTTACCAGGAGATCTGGTTTTAGCCGACCGTGGATTTGACATTTCAGAAAGTGTTGGTTTCCACTGTGCAGAAATAAATGTTCCAGCGTTTACACGTGGGAAACCTCAGCTATCAGCAACAGACGTTGAGACTACACGAAGAATCGCCCATGTTAGAATTCATGTGGAGAGGGTGATAGGACTTGTTAGAAATAAGTACACAATTTTGCAAGGCAAGCTGCCTATTGACTATTTGATGAGTGAAGAGGGGGGTGTGCCAGCAATCGATAAAATTACAACAGTTTGTTGTGCATTAACCAACATGTGTGAGTCTGTGGTTAGTTTTGATTAAGTATTGCATAGAACTATGCTGTGTGGAATTATGCTTAACCAAATGTCACTGTCACTTTACTGAGTCACTGTGTCCCAGAGCCTCATGCTGCTAATGTATAGATGTAAAGATACTGCTGCATATGTACAGATGCTAACATAGAACTACATATTGCTGGCACTAGAATACACACGCCTCTTATTTTGCCAAATGTAAAACTTTTACACTTATTTTTATTTAAGATAGATTTTATACTTGTTATTTATGGGAGTTAAAGAATGTTTTATTTTAATTAGTATAGCTATTGTTCACTCATCTTTTACAGTGTGCTACTCTTTCCTACTGTTCCATAACTTGTGATGCAACACAAATTTCCCCGTTGTGGGTCAAATAAATGTTCTCTGAAACATACTTTTCTTTTCACTTTATTACCACATCACTTTTCTACAAGTGGGACAATAGTATGGAGGTTTGGGATTCCTCTTAATGCCAACACATTTGAAATGGAGAAAACCATACTGACATTTTTCATTGGCACACTTCACTGTATTACTCATATATGTTTCTGACCGTTCACCACAAACACAACGGAGTGCACTGCATGTAGTGCTGCCATCTTCAGCTGCTGACTGACTCCGAGTCTGTTGGGGTGCAGTACTGATAACCGGTATCCCATCAGGACTGGCACTGTTGTTGAACAAAGTGTTTGATTGTTGCTTGTGCAGCCTTTCCCTAGTAAGAAGGCTTCCTGTCATCTCTGGGAGGACGACAGATAAGAAGAAGTCCTCGGACTTTTTCAAGATTTCTTCTTCCAGGGCTTGGTCTGGCTCGATCCTCTGGATGAACATTCCAGTCGGACTCCACACAACAAAGTCACAGTAGGCTTTCTGCGTAACAGTTAACTGCGTCTGAATTTGATACTTGTACTTGTGTTTGTCTATCAAGTGTCCCTCCTTGATATAATCCACACTTGAAAGACCTTTCTCTTTTGCTGTGTAGGGGCATTTTACTTCGACAAGACCCACACCGCAGCAGTCACACTGTACAATTCCATCAGGAGTGGCACCAACATGTGAATATCTGCCATTTAGAAAGAGTCCACACTTTTTCACAAAAAATTTTTCATGCTGTTGACACATTTTCTCTGTGTATGCACTTAAAGCAATACCTTCATGTTTTAGACCATAGTCAGTGGCTTTAGTTTTTACCGGCTTTCTACCACACACCGCCTGAATGGTTGAACTAGCTGGAGATGCTGAATTGTAATCGCACACAGCCTTCATATTTGAAGCAGTAATCCTACCTAATCTAAAGTGGAACCACTCTTTACACTTATTTTGTTCTCGTGTCAGTCGTTCCACATTCACAGCTTGCTCTGGGGTGACAGTTACATCCTTTAAAATTGTCAAACAATGCTGTCTTAGGAGTTCTGGTTCCATTTCAAGATACTTATCATCTCGCAGATTAGAAAGTGGCTGAGGCAGATTCCCGTCTTGGAGAATCTTTGGGACATATTGGTCTTGAAATCCACTGGACACAGTCAGTACAGATGCTTTTGTCACGCGATGCAAGTCGTGCAATATTTCAAGTCTGTCTGCAGCTGATGGTCTCGGGACATCAGGAAGTTTCTGGGATGACCGCTGTTGAATAGGCTCACCTGCAATGAGGATAAAATATGTTTACTTATTGCCTGCTGTTCCCAACAACAGTATTGGAGTTATACAAGTAGTAAGTGCACATTTATCCCATAAGCAAGACAATAAAGTAAGTCTAATGTAATTATTTGAATGTATATCTAATTTAGAATTCCAAAAATATATATAATTCATTCATTACACAAAAACAGTCAGCAGATACCAGGCTGAATTTAAGGTGACAAAGGTAAACAAACAAGGGCATTACCACTGATTCTACTTTCAAAACGTCTCTTCTTTGTCGCTACTGATGTGAAGTCTATTTGACGAATCGTGGCATATGGCACCTTGTCAATCGCTGATGGTATGCACCAGTAAGCCTTCTCTTGGGTGACAGTCCTCTGTGTAACCAAGCGGTGTGCTGATTCAACGTAAAACAGGAGAGCACCGACATGGCTGCAGGTTTCACCTAGTCCAGCCTTGCAATCACAATGTGCTGCTTCTATTGTCCCATCTTTGTTAGCTATGATCCATGGACGCAGAGGGGCAGCATTCAGCATCTGAGAATGGCGAACCTGAATGTGTGAAAAAAAATCATAACATGAAAATAAGAAACAGTACCGTAAATACTGTAAAAAATATAAAGGCTAGCAGGCTACATACCTTTGCTAACACCAACACGTTGGACTCCACAGTCATACTTTGTACATCACGCACCCATCCACAACACAGCTGATTCATGGCTTCCATTGATTTATATGCCTTCAGCTGTTCAAATGTGTACGCACTTTTTGCATTTATGAGGTAGTTCACGATGTCAATGTACGTAACAGCAGGTAAGCACTTAGCATCATTCTTCAGGTCCTCCTTTGCTAGCATATATGGATCTCTCCCCGCAATCAGTCCCATTTTCACTTGGTATCGCTGGCGTTCCTTTAGCTGGAGGCTCTCCCTGTACGACTTCAACTTCTGAGAAGTCATTTTTGTCCAAAACACGAAAAAAATTGGTATCCTTTTCAGTCACCTCTTCTAGGACGTTTACCTATGTAGCGCGGTGTGCCCAAAAAAATGGAGACCGGAAGTCTGCTGCCGATTTCGTGGGAACTATGTATTATGATAAGAGAAATATTTTGTGATGTTGAATCATCAATTGGAGTGTCACTGTTTGCTGACGATGGTGTAATGTGGAAGAGGGGGAGAAATATTGTTAAAAAGTTGCAAGAAGCCATCGGGATGGTTGAAGCTTGGTCATTAAAGTGGGGTTTCAGATTCTCAGTGAGTAAAACAAAAGTTAGGTTTTTTACCAGGAAAAGAGTGGGAGATGACATTAATCTTACTTTATATGGGAAGAATCTTGAACGAGTGAGTGAGTTTAAGTACCTAGGGTTATTGTTTGATAGCAAGTTGACATGGGCAGCCCATATTAATAAAGTAATGGAGAAGTGCAAAAAGGTGTTGAACATGATGAGGTGTCTCAGGGGACGGGACTGGGGAGCTAGTCGGAATTGTTTAAAAACTGTGTAGGCAAGTTTATTTATATTGCACAATTCATACACAAGGCAACTCGTGCTGAACAAAACAAGAAAGCATTAAAATCATAAATAATCACAGAACATTAAAAAGAAAGTATATAAATATAAAATATAAAATCCCTCAGTTGTAGCACAGCTAAACAGAACCGTCTTTAACCTGGTTTTAAACATTGTCAGAGAGGAGGCCTGTCTCACATCTTCAGGAAGACTGTTCCAGATTTTAGCAGCATGAATCTGAAAAGCTAGCCTGGCTCCAGCCGACCTTTAGCCCCGCCTCCATGGAGTTTCTGCGGGCAGGTCGGTCTGGCATTCCTCAATGGAAAAAGTATTATGGGGGGCGTGTTCGAACTGAAACAGGAAACACAATCCCCCTTCGTTCTATTGGATAGTCCAACAACCAATGAGAGCGAGGTGTGACGTATTTATGCGACGTTATTATTGTTTACCTTCTCGCATGCTGCCTGTAAAATGAGTGCAAACGACTTGTGCCGGTGTTGCAAAAAGAACTTGAAGATACGCGGAGTATTTAGCAACACGTTACTAATTTTTGAGAGAAATAAAAAAGGTAAATCCATATACGAACAAGTCCTCCATTTAGGATTACAACTTCACAAGACATCAGAGAAATCTACGCGCATTTGTCGGTCCTGTCACAACCTGATTACAAGACTGGAACGCGACATTCCCGTGTTCAAATCATGGACAAACGAAGAAGGAGAACCGGCTGAAGAAGCATGCTCATCAGAGTCACCATCAGAGAAGAGAGACCGGGAGCTGAGCCCTTCTAAGTCGCCCAGAGCCCTGAAGAAGTTCTGTTCCAATCATTTAACTGCAGCCGGTGCAAAACCGCGAAGAAGCATCACAAAGGTAAGCGCATGTTAAAGAAAAAATTCTACCTATTATTTTATACCCACAATCTCGATTGCCAAGTGTTTCATATATGAAGTCGTGTTTATTTACAATGTGATTAACACATAACCATCACATGAAGCCCGCCCTGTCACTCTGACTGGCCCGGTATGTATCGTACCGGGCATAATGGTTTTTCCATTGAGGAATGCCAGACCGACCTGCCCGCAGAAACTCCGTGGAGGCGGGGCTAAAGGTCGGCTGGAGCCAGGCTACTGAAAAGCAGCCTCCCCATGTTTAGTTCTGACTCTGGGCACTAACAGGAGTCCAGTCCCTGTGCTCCTCAGAGTCCCAGCAGGAGGCCAGTCCCTGTGCTCCTCAGAGTCCCAGCAGGAGGCCAGTCCCTGTGCTCCTCAGAGTCCCAGCAGGAGTCCAGTCCCTGTGCTCCTCAGAGTCCCAGCAGGAGTCCAGTCCCTGTGCTCCTCAGAGTCCCAGCAGGAGTCCAGTCCCTGTGCTCCTCAGAGTCCCAGCAGGAGTCCAGTCCCTGTGCTCCTCAGAGTCCCAGCAGGAGTCCAGTCCCTGTGCTCCTCAGAGTCCGGGCTGGTTCATATGGGACTAACATGTCACTAATATATTTTGGCGCGAGGCCATGGAGAGACTTGTAACAAGCAGAGCTGTTTTAAAGTCTATTCTCTGAGCCACAGGAAGCCAGTGCAGAGACCTGAGAACTGGACTAATGTGGTCGTACTTCCTGGTTCTAGTCAGGACTAATGTGGTTGTACTTCCTGGTTCTAGTCAGGACTAATGTGGTCGTACTTCCTGGTTCTAGTCAGGACTAATGTGGTCGTACTTCCTGGTTCTAGTCAGGACTAATGTGGTCGTACTTCCTGGTTCTTGTCAGGACTAATGTGGTCGTACTTCCTGGTTCTAGTCAGGACTAATGTGGTCGTACTTCCTGGTTCTAGTCAGGACTAATGTGGTCGTACTTCCTGGTTCTAGTCAGGACTAATGTGGTCGTACTTCCTGGTTCTAGTCAGGACTAATGTGGTCGTACTTCCTGGTTCTTGTCAGGACTAATGTGGTCGTACTTCCTGGTTCTAGTCAGGACTAATGTGGTCGTACTTCCTGGTTCTAGTCAGGACTAATGTGGTCGTACTTCCTGGTTCTAGTCAGGACTAATATGGTCGTACTTCCTGGTTCTAGTCAGGACTAATGTGGTCGTACTTCCTGGTTCTAGTCAGGACTAATGTGGTCGTACTTCCTGGTTCTTGTCAGGACTAATGTGGTCGTACTTCCTGGTTCTAGTCAGGACTAATGTGGTCGTACTTCCTGGTTCTAGTCAGGACTAATGTGGTCGTACTTCCTGGTTCTAGTCAGGACTAATATGGTCGTACTTCCTGGTTCTAGTCAGGACTAATGTGGTCGTACTTCCTGGTTCTAGTCAGGACTAATGTGGTCGTACTTCCTGGTTCTAGTCAGGACTAATGTGGTCGTACTTCCTGGTTCTAGTCAGGACTAATATGGTCGTACTTCCTGGTTCTAGTCAGGACTAATGTGGTCGTACTTCCTGGTTCTAGTCAGGACTAATGTGGTCGTACTTCCTGGTTCTAGTCAGGACTCGAGCTGCTGCATTTTGAATGTACTGCAGCTGTTTTACAGCCTGTTTGGACAGACCTGTGAGCAGGCCATTGCAGTAGTCTAACCTACTGGAGACAAATGCATGGATAAAGCCTAGTGTATACTCGCGCGGCACAGAGGTGACGTGACGTCACTTGCGCAACGCGTTGGTCACCGCAAGGCCCTTACGTTGCCTGCCGCGCAGCATCGAAATAACTACGTGAAGCCTAGTGTATACTTGCGCGGCGTGGCTTACGTTAGCGGTTGCGGTGGACCTACGTAAGCACAATGGATGTTATACTGGTGCGCTCCCCTTACGGAGTTTTGAGGAGAATGTTGTAATCCCACAACAAACCACATGAGGGCGATCACACAGGAGCGGTCCCATTTACGCTGCTACTTTGTCCTCTTCAGAACAACAATAACAAACAAAGCTGTTTGAGCTCATTACACGTGTTTCTACTGTAGGTTTATGTGCTACTTTTATGGATTCATTATTTTATAAGTCATTTCAACTGTGATGCTGTGAATAAAGACACAGTTCTTGTTGGAAACAGTTATTAAATAGTTTTCAGCACAAACAGCAAAACAATAATAATAAAAACTGAACTGGCATATGCAGAACTGTGTGGATGTTTGGATGATAAGACACTAGTGCTAATCCTGTATGAAGCGCCAGATGATGGAAAGAAGAGTTTGGAAATCCTGCGGCGCCATTTTGAATCAGAAGAAAAGCCGCGAATCGTCGGGCTTTACACAGAGCTCACCAATGTGCTAATGGCTGATGGAGAAGAGCTAGCGGGCTATCTCGCACGTGTTGAGAAGATAGTAGCCGCACTGAATAGAGCTAAAGAGACCCTCAGTGATTCACTATTGGTGGCGATGGTGTTAAAAGGACTTACAGATGAATACAGCCCCTTCTCTGTCCACGTCACACAAACAAGAGAAGCGTTAACCTTCAATGAGTTCAAAGCCAGATTGAGAAGCTTCGAGTGCTCTCTTCGCTACCGCGGCAGACCCAGAACAGATGAGGTAATGACTGCAAACTACAAGTCATTCAAACCAAAAGTCAAAGACTACAAAGACAAGAAATACTAATGGCGAATGCTTTATTTGTGAAAAGGTTGGTCATAGAGCAAGAGACTGCCGAAACAAAGACAAGAAAACACAGCGGAACTCCAAAGTGGCCACGGTTCAAGACACTGGACAGCATGAAGAGGCGTTTGTACTCAGGGCGAGTGAATGGAGACCTCACTGTGTCCAACCGGAGGGTCTTCTCGTGGACAGCGGTGCTTCTGCCCACATCATGACCCATGAAGAAGCCTTCATTAGGTTTGATGAAACGTTCCGGCCTCAGAACCACGTCATGCAGCTGGCAGATGGGACGCGGATCGCTGGCAGCGTTCTGAAGAAAGGCGACGCCCAGATCGAGCTGACCGAGAGCAATGGCAGAGTGGTGAGAGTCAAGCTCACAGATGCACTTTTGATTCCAGGATACCCACAGAACATTCTATCTGTGGAGGCAGCAACTTCGAAAGGAGCAAGGTTCAATTTTGAGCGGAACAACAACAAAATGATCCTTCCTGATGGTACGACATGTAAAATGAAGTTAAAGGACAGATTGTATTATTTGGACATTGTGAAGGAGAACAATGATTCATCTAATGTATGTTATGATCTGAAAACTTGGCATGAAATAATGGGTCATTGCAACTATGGTGATATTGAAAAACTTGAAGCTGTTGTAGATGGCATGAGAATCAAGGATAAAAAGTCCAAACCAAACCAGTGTGAAACATGTCTACAGGGAAAATTTACCCAAAGCAGGAGCAGGGAAGCAGATGTTAGAGCTAAAGCGCCCTTAGAGCTCATACATTCAGACCTGGGTGGACCCATCACCCCAGAGTCACATGAAGGGTATAAATATGCCATTACCTTTACTGATGATTTCTCTGGTGCCATTTATGTTTACTTCCTTAAGAACAAAAATAAGGCAGTTGAAGCAACAAAGCAGTTCCTGGCCGATACAGCACCTTATGGTAAAGTTAAACGCCTAAGATCAGACAATGGTACAGAATACACGTCTGAAGAGTACCAGTCACTGTTAAGGGACAATTCTATCAAACACGAGAGGTCAGCACCCTACTCCCCCCCATCAAAATGGGACTGCGGAGAGAAACTGGCGCACATTATTTGAAATGGTGCGTTGCATGTTGATAGAATCAGGATTACCTAAGGAGCTGTGGCCATATACAGCTAGGACGGCTGCTGTCATTAGAAACAGGTGTTACTGTAAGAGAACAGGTGAAACGCCATATTTCTTATTTACCGGAAAGAGACCAGATTTGTCAAAGATGAAAAAGTTTGGGTCAAACTGTATGGTGTATGAACGAAACACGAGGAAGTTAGATCCAAAGGGGAAAAAGGGAATATTTGTTGGTTTTGATCGCAGTTCACCAGCTTATATGATTTATTTTCCAGAGACAAACAAAGTTATGAAACACAGACTGGTTCATTTCATAACTAGAGACGTTGCCGAGAGTCAGACACAGACTGACACAGATCAACCAGAGGGCCACTATGTGGAATGGGTAATTAAACCAAATGAAGTAACTCAGTCACAAACAGATGAGAATGACACAATCAGTGAACTAGACCAAGGTAGTGACACAAGGACTGATACACAGACCCCAACTACAACTGGTAGAGTTAGGAAGAGACCAAAGTACTTGGAGGACTATGAATGTACAGTGCAGAGCAGTATGTTAACTATAGACTACTGTTATCGAGCTACGGTTGGGTTGCCACAGACCTACAAAGAGGCTCTGGCCTCACCACTAGCAGAAAACTGGAAGAAGGCAATGAGGGATGAAATGTCTACATTTAAAGAAAATGACACCTTCTCACTTGTACCGTTACCGGAGGGTAGACAGACAGTGGGGGGAAGGTGGGTATATGCTCTCAAAGAAGATGAGAAGGGAAACGAGACATACAAAGCCAGATATGTAGCAAAGGGATACAGTCAGGTTGAGGGACTGGACTATTCGGACACGTTCTCTCCGACTGCTAATTTGACGTCATTACGTGTGCTGATGCAGCTGGCAGCACAGCATGACTTAACACTGAACCAAATGGACGTTAAGGCAGCTTACTTGCATGCACCGATTGACCATGAGATATACATGGAACAACCAGAAGGTTTTCAGGCTAAGACCAAAAATGGGACACAACTGGTGTGCAAGTTGAATAAATCCATTTATGGGCTTAAACAGTCAGGCAGAAATTGGAATCTTATGCTTCATGATTTCTTGCTGGAGAACAACTTTGTACAGAGTCAGGCTGATCACTGTATCTACACAAAACTGTCAGAAAATGAAAAACTAATTTTGTTAGTGTGGGTCGATGATATAGTTTTGGCTGCAAACAACAAAACCTGTCTGGAGGAAGTCAAAGATAAACTGAAAAGTAAGATCAAAATGAAAGACCTCGGAGAACTCACCCATTTCTTGGGGATTGATTTCAATAAAAAAGAGGGTTCTATCAAAATGAACCAAACCAGATACATTGCCAAAATTCTAGAAAATTTTGGAATGTCTGATTGCAAATCCAGAAGCACTCCTAGTGAAATCAAATGTGACTTGAACCCAGAAGGGGACATAACAGACCAAAAGAAATATTTAGGTGAGTAAGGACTTCCGGGTTACTTAGGGATGGCTGCGTAGAGCGTGAGCTCCTGACCAAAAGTGAGAAATAACCCCGTAAAAGTCAAAGAAATATCACGAAAACTGCTGCTGCGATCATCTAAGGAGGGGAAGCGATGTCACCTCCAAAAAGACGAGGAAAATCTATCATACCTGCAGAGAATGACTTTGGAGAAAAGTCACACGAGGATGAAGCTAATGCTAACCCCCCCGCGGCTAGCCGGGGGAACGGAGATGAAAGCATGGGTGAGGAAGAAGTGTCAAATAACACAATATTGAAAGAAATACGCGAATATAGGCAAGAGATTAAGCAGGAATTCGCTAAAACAAATCTGAGGCTGGATGAAGCGGAGAAAAGAATTGTGGGGAACGAAGAAAAGCTTCAAGCTGTGGAAGACGTAATTACGGGAATGCTAAAGATTCAAGAACAACTGCAGGATAAGCTAACAGACCAAGAATGCACGTCGCGGAGAGATAATGTCAGAATATACGGCATTCCCGAACAAACAACAGGAGATACCAATTCTAAGACAATGATAACATTTGTTGATAAATTGCTAAGAGAAAAGCTTGAAATCCCCCCCTCCGTAAACCTGCAGATAGAGAGGGCACACAGAGCGCTTGCCCCCAAGCCCCCCCCCCAGATGCTAAACCGCGGTCTATCCTGGTCAAATTCCTGAGTTTCCGAGTGAAAGAAGAAGTGATTCGATCTGCATGGCAAAAGAAAGGTTTTATTCTGGATGGACATAAGATAAGTCTGGATCATGATTACGCACCCGCAGTTCTAATGAAACGGAAAGCGTATGCAGAAGCGTGACGAGTGTTGAAGGCAAAAAACATACGCTTTCAAACGTTGTATCCAGCCCGCTTGAGAGTGCACTACGAAGAGGGGGAAACGACCTACAATTCAGCGGAGGAGGCAACAGCGGACATGGCGAGTCGAGGGCTCTCGGTGAAGGTGATTGAGGGGCCAGACACGCTGTGGGAGAGAGTACAACAAGCAGCCTGGCAACCAGCGCGGCCCAAGAGGAGAAACCCTGCTGCAAACGCCACGGGGTTTAAACAAAAGCTGCAGGCATTCCGTCGAATCTCATTGAAGGAGAATGACTGAAGTTACTTTTCACAATAACTATTCTAAAAGATGTTGTCAAAATCTCCTTGACGGACGTGTCTTAGTTGATGCAGGAAACAGGACAAAAGATTCTTTCCAAGTTTAACATCTGTATTTAATTTATCTTTACAATCAGATATATTCAACAAGAAAGCTCCTAAAACTATCCATGTCCCTCTCTGGCCCTGTGCTGACTGTGCTCAAAGACCTTCAGGGAGGTCATATGTAGGAGACTTCCGATGACGTCATCCATATGCGCCCAAGGGTTTTCCATTCGGGTGTGCTGGCGTCCCTTGTCCACTGGGAGGCGTCAGAACGCCGTTGGTGAATCCCCAGTCTGCCTTAAGAGAGATTAGCCAGATGGTGGTTTGAACTTTGATCTCGCCAGAGAGAGAGACAAGAATGTTTATTTCTGGAGTTAATAATTTGTCCCGATTTGAAGGTTGGTATCTTTATGACGGATTGTAGTTTCTCCATTTGATCCTCTTTATTCCTGTTTGCAATCCTTGTGTCCTTGGGGCTTTTCCCAGTGCACATTCTTCAGAGGGGCTGTTTTCAAAATCCTTAGTAGACAACATTTTAATTCTACAACTAAGATGACGAGGTTAATACAACAAAGGATTTTTTTAAACTTTTGGTCAAAAGGAGGACAAGGACACTGGTGATTGCAGTCACAGTGGAGGAGGGCCCTCTGGCACACTCGGGGTGTAGAGGCTATCCCTCTAACCAACAGGTCGATAAAAGGACCTCAGGTTGGGAAGTTAAAGACAGGTTTTGTTATTTTGTTAAGGTTTGTTCTGTTCATTTTTATTATGTGTGGGTATTTATTGTTTTGCACTGTGTTTTGTGTAATGGGGAATGCTTACAGGAAATAGAGCACAAATCAAACAGTTATGTTGGGAGAACCGGTTGAGATTGACCCCATTGTTAAACCTGGTGATTGGATATTCATCAAAGTTCAGAATAGATCCAAATGGACTCCATACCAGACAGGACCATATAAAGTGACTAATTGCACAAGGAGGTCTGTTCAGGTCGATCGAGCCGGTGTGAAGTACTGGTACCATCTTGAACACTGCATTCGCAGCCCGAGTGACCAGACGGAACGCACCCTGGCAGAGGTCCAAGATGACGTCGCTCGAAATACAACCTCAACTGATGACCGATCAATCGAGACCCCGGACGCACTCTCAAGGGACCCTGGAGAGTTGGAAAAACGGGGGAAGTAATGTTTTTGTGATTAAAACCCCACCTTTGATGAGTTTTAAATGGAAATATGTACTCATGATGTTTTCTTTTTTGTGTGTGTCCCTAGTTTGCTGGATATCTGTTGAACAACCTGTTGGACACCGCGATTTGCCATACGAGAACCAGCAGACTGAAAAACCAACTGTGACCACAGCTGCAAGCGGGATCACAACTCTTGATCTGCCAAATGCAATAACTTCACAAGGTATGAGACAGAGAGCAGGCAGGAGCATCGGACATTTTAGTCCTGGGGACAGAGCACCAACAGTTAAAATGGTTTGTCAGGTAGGGAAACAATGCACGGTTTTATTAGATTCTTTCCAAATTCACTCATGTTCAAATCCCTGTGGATACAAACAATATGAAAAGTTTTTATGTATAACTACCAATGCATGCTACATTGCAAGAGGCGTATGGGGCAGTTCAGGAATCTCTCGTGGTTGTAATTGTGAATCTTGGGCTTATACAATTGCTAATACCGGAACTGATTGGGGCTACCATTCTCAAAGTGACCTAAAACATACGCTATCTATCATTAAGGCTAAAGAAGCACCTGGAGATATATGTGACCCTGTAATCATTACTCTCAAAAACCCCAGTAAATCTGATAATGGTACATAGTAAGTAAGTAAGTAAGTAAGCTTTATTTATATACCGCCTTTCACAGACCAGAGTCACAAAGCGGTTTACAATTGTTATTTTATGGGCACTTGTCCTCTCACTCCACACAGAGATGGGAGCGGGGTCGCCGAACAGGAGGCACATGCCAGACCTATTGTACATATTTTTAGTGGTAGGGGAAACCGGAGTACCCGGAGGAAACCTACGCAGACACGGGGAGAACATGCAAACTCCACTCAGAAAGGCCCTGGTCCGGCCGGGATTCGAACCCAGGACCTTCTTGCTGAGAGGCGAGAGTGCTATCCACTCAGCCACCGTGCCCCCCACATATGTATTTGGATCTTACATCTCCCCTAGAAACCAAAAAATGGGACTTCTAACTATCCAAGTCACGGACGAACCAAAACCAACCATAAAACCTGTAGACCTAGCTAAACTTAAAATGGAAAGTAAAGAAAGGCCAAAATACCTCTCAGAACTCTCACTTGAGGATGTAATTAAGATAGAGATAAATATGAACTTATGGCTTAAATGGCTTCAGTATACTGCGCACTCATTGACGAATGAGTCCTGCTTTGCGTGTGCTGCAGCCAGACCTCAATTGACCGCTACACCTTTCCCAAATACCACAGACTCAAATAGATGTGTATTTTCAATGTTCTCGGTCTCAACCAAAAATGATCCAGATTGCACACATTTGACTAAAATGTATCCCATTATTTCCCAGAAGGACGTCCCATTCACACACACAGTTGAAACCAATGGTTATCATTGCATCACAAACAGAGATAGTAGTGCTTCTGCCATCCACTTAGGAATCTTCCCCCATGGTTACTGTGATACTATAACTAAAGCTGCTAGTATAGATAACTATCGTCAAGCCCTATTCCAACAGTGTCTTCCAAGGGCTGACCTGTGGTGGCTGTGTGGTGATCTAACTTTAAGAGCTATTCTGCCAAAATCATGGAAAGGACAGTGTGCTGTCGTTTCCCTCATCGTTCCATTCATTCTAGCTCCAATGTCACTCATAGACGAGTCAGAACCCATGCTTAAAACTAAATTGCTTGATCCTTATCCACGTAGCAAACGTAGTGTATTGCCCCTCAGAGAGACAGACAGGCCTTTAGGCTCATTTGACAAGGGAGTATGGTTAAATTGGGCCGGGGTTCCTGTAGGTGTGCCAGATGAATTCAAGGCTCAAAACGAAATAACTAGGGGACTAGCCTCAATCTTGTTTAGCTGGCCCACCTCCAACATGAATGTAGCCTGGATCAATTACATATATTACAACCAACAGAGATTCATCAACTATACAATTGGCGCACTTGAGAGCATTTCAGAGCAATTGGCACCAACCTCATTGATGGCCTGGCAAAATAGATTAGCCCTAGACATGATTCTAGCAAGTAGCTCGGGAGTGTGCCATTTTTTTCCAAGACAAATGCTGTACGTTTATTCCCAATAATACTGCGCCAGACGGTAGCATCTCCAGAGCCATAAATAACCTTAGACTCTTGTCCGAGGAAGTCACAAAGAACTCAGGAACACAAGATAGCACTTGGATAGCCTGGTTCAATAGTCTATTCGGATCCTTGACCCCCATAATAATGTCAATTTTAAGCACTTGCCTAATTGTGTTCACAGTTTTAATCCTGGGAGGATGTTGTGTAGTTCCATGCCTTAGACATCTGATTGAGCGTTTGATTGCAGCTGCAATTTCCAAACAGTATATTAACACAATGCCGCTAATGATGAGTGTAAACTACTGTCTAGAAGAAGAGGACGAGATCGAGTCCGATAGTGAGATTTATTAGCTATATGTTCCACTAAGATGCAAATTCAACAGAAATTGTACATAGCTTTGCAAAATAATCATATTAGTGTTTTAAAATAGTATAAGATAATAGCTGTTGATGTCAATAATTCCCTTTGACTGACGTATCCAAAATCGATGCAAGAGCGAGACAAGAGATCTTCACGTTTAACATCTGCATTTAATTATCTTTACAATCAGATACAGAATATTCAACAAAAAGTGCTCCTAAAACTAATATGTCCCTTTCTCTGGCCCTCGGTTGATCCTTCTGACTCTTCCCAAGCCAGAGCATTCAGTCGATGTTCAGGGAGCAGGGGGCGTGTCGTATCAGGCAGGACTTGGGCCCAACCTCTTCCATCATTTCCCCTCTGTCTGCCGTACCTTAAACAGAATCATTCACACACACTACCACTCCCCAAATTTATTACTTCTTTGAGATAAGGCAGAAGGCTCTCTGGGTCCCCCTCCTTCTTCAGGATTAGGAGAATCCCCCCCCAGATTACCTATCATTAACTCACCCATGCACTTTGGACTAACAAAGGAACATGGGGAAACCAGGTCTTTTTGCTTTAGGAAAAGACAGTTCAAATCAGGGTCAGCCAATATTCACATCTGCATAGTTAAAATATACAACACTGTACAGGTGTACAGTGTAAAATCAAAACGTTTAGGTTAATGTAGCAATTAATATTAAGACTTCACATTAGGATGAAGTGAGTAATTAATTTTATATTTGATTCTTAATGCTCAGTCCCGCCTGCTCTATGACTCATATCAGCTTGGTTCTGGTGTCCAATAGAGATTTTTGTTATTGTTTGAACTATAAAATCAGCTAAATTCATGATTATATAGTGAAAGTGATTATTTTTTATTATCATTATTTTTTGTGTGTATTTTTTTGCAAGTTAAGAATCAGTTATTCACTTTACTTGATTTCATGATTGTAAGTTTTTGTTGATTGATTGATTTATTTTTGTTGTTTTTGTATTTTTATTATCACATGTGTTTATGTGATAAAATTGGAGGGTGTGGTAAACAGTGACCTATGTACTGCACAGGTGGACAAATGCAAGACAAAATAGTTTTAATAAACTGGCCTTGTGGAGGTCTCAAGGACCACAGAGACTTTCGTTGTTTAGGCTATTTGGTGCCGAAGGTTTGGCCTTTTCTATGATGACGTAGATTTCCATATATAATGTATCTGTGTCTTTTGTTCTGCCTGAAATTAACGACCATTTTGTGAATAAACCAGCCAGGAGGCTTTGTCGTACAAAGATCCCGTTTTGCCTGAGTCTGATTCCTATCAACCTAAAAC